ATGAGATTGCAGGCTCACGCGATACGAACGAGACTACCGTCTCACGTTCCGGTCGCCAAGCACGGTTGTCCGTACGCTCTCGCGACTAGCCGCACAGTTAACAACCGATACGGTTTAGGACCATTCCCGTACTACATGAATGCTACACTTCTCTTTCTTTCGATTTTTTTCCTATCCTGAGTCCATGCCTCCGACCGTCCCCGTCTGGTACCGTTGACTTCAACCAACTTTGGCGAAAGGTAGCCTGATCATCCACGCTCTTGTCAACGCACTCAGTCGATATTTCGGTTTCGAATGCTTGGCATACGCTTGGTCTCGAACCTGGTCGTTATGGTCGCTTCTGGTTCCTCGGCTCAACGTGGTTTCGTCCTACGTCTGCAGCGTTTCTGGTACGCATCCCTACGAACGCAATCTTCAGATTCTGGATACAAACCATTCCGGTGTGGCATGCCAACTCGAGCAACAAATACAGCATACCGCCCCTGGTACCGTTCTCAGAAAAAGAATTTCGTTGGCAACTCGACGATCAACGATCGCTTTCCCATTCCGCCAATTCTTCCGTCCTACAATCGCTCGTCAGCCGATCAGTCCCACGATTTAAACCGCTACCCATCGAGAGTGTAAACCCTATTCTAGCGGAGGGCTCCTGTAGTGACTCACTTTTATCACAAGAACACGATTGGTTTAATGAAAACAATCATTATTATAACCAATTGTTCCAGTGACTGTTTAATGTGCTTTTTGTTTAACTGTGCTGAAAACATCCATTATATTCACTTTCATTGTGACCTCGCGCGAATTCGGTTACGTTCTGTAACCAAGTTTGTATTCTGGCACGATCTCGGTATCCTTTCGGTACCACGAGATCGCCAGCGAATATATCTCGATTTGGTCCATTAACTGCATTCTGATATTTCGCTTCCGGGGGATTTTATGGATTTGTTTGGCATGTGTTTCTCTATAGCTGTGTTCATAGTCAATTTCGACTCGACGCCACGCTACAATATTTTCAACAATTCTGTAACAAACTAATTTGCCGCAAATTATAAGGGTGTACTAAGATGAATTGTTAGCTATTCTAGTTGACGACATTCTCAGGTCGATTCTGTTTCATGTTTGTTAGCTGTGATATTTCCGTCTTACAGTCAGTTAGTTAAATTTGATATTTACTTTATGATGACAAAAATATGATAGACAGTGAATAAATCTCTTGTTAAATCTCATATCAATATTTACGACCTCTCTGTCCTCTCTTAGTAATTTGAGAGTACTCTCTAAATCATTTTCAGATCATCAGTTGTTTGTTAAAGTCCACAGGATACATTGCTATGTTCTGATTGTTACCTTAATTTGCAAACTAACTGAGCATGGTTATGAAAAAATGTATAGAAAAGAGTGTGAAGCGATAGAACAATAAGAATGGTTGAACCTGTCTCACTTGCCACACTACATAACTTCACAGACCAGTTTCTTACCAAATCATTAAACATTCTCTAGATCTTAGCAATATGTTGAACGACTAAAACTAAGACTTAAATCCTTATCAGTTTGTTTAGAGATGTTGAGCCTCTATAAGAAAGAAGCCCAAAACCAGTCTGTAATTATATGAACAAGCCTCAGTTGTGACTACATTTATTGAGACACAGGTTTTCGGAAGACTGTTTCAGTAAAGCTCTGATGATCCACATGAATCATAAATTTTTATCAGGACTTCGTCAACAGAAAACTAAACTAGAATTCGAAAAAGACATGGATTAAGAAAGTATCATCAAAGTGATGTGAGACGGCACTCTGAGTCTCTATAGAAGTTACCTAAACCAATCAATCCAGTAAGGAATTCTCAGACTTCCCGCTAGTAAGAAGTTCAAGGAACACTGCGCGAACCTCCACTTTTAACTTCTGAACATTCGATCAAGGGTAAGTGTAGGAGCCGTAATTATTTAAGCACTCCAAAGGATGTCCAGGGTCTTCATGTTGTTGTAAATAGTTATCAAGTTGACTCTTCGCCTCTTATTCTCTATGGGGTGCAAACTCTTCATTTTCAGTGGCACTTAGGAAGACAAACTCATGAACAGTGATTTTATAGCTAATTTTTAAATACACTTTAAAACATTTTTATTTGTTTAAAGTAGAAGAAGAAACATTACGGTTTCAAACTTTAAAGAAAGTAAACAAAAATTTGAAAAAATGGCGGAAAGTCGTACCTTCAAAATGGCCAGAAATGCCACTTAGAGTCACTTACACACGCCCTGATCTAAAGGTATTTTTGCCAGTGGTCACATGAGTTTAGAGAATAAGGAACTAGATACTCCCAAATAATTTTAAATGACAAAACTTTTTGATGTTTGTCCCATATTGATGTGGATGGTAACTTTGGATTCCAAGTCGGGCTCGACTTTAATCACTGAACGGTCGCGGCTTTGTGTTAACTGACCTTGGCTATCTTATGACTGAATGGGGAGCAATATAGATATTTACGACTGTGATGGTTTTTGAGGAGAGTTTTGATGCAAAGTTTGGGGGTGTGGCTTGTAAGCGGCTGTATCCTGCTGGCTGGTAACTGGTTGTTGATCGAAACTCGTATTCGACTGACTGTGTTTACTGGACCTAATTGTAACTTTTGGTTACTGCGTACATGAGGGATTCTTTGATTGGGACTCCTTATTTTTACTTGATTTTCGTGAGAAAACTGTTACAGATATGGTAAGCCTACCAGAGTTGTACTAGTTGCTGCAAAAGACCATTCAGTTCAATAGGATCAACAAGTGTGAAACAGTCTTCGGCTCCAGTGTCGGATGATGGCCTGTGAAATATTCATGTAACTCCAGGATTAGTACAAAGAGAACTAAAATCCCTGTGCTCAGGTAAGTCCCTTTGAAGTGGCAACACCAAAACTATAATCCTGAAATAGTTCACGCAATTCAGTACACAGATATATGACATGTTCAAGTTTTCACTCGAGTTACAGCAACTTCCGAAAGAATGGGGACTGACTACTATCGCTGATCTTCATCATGGGAGATAAGAAAGATCTAGCCTGGTACAGATCAAAAGGATTACTTTCAGTACTATCAAAGTGATGGAAGGACTGGTGAATGACCGAACGAAGGGATAAATTGAAAAAAACAAGCGTCCTCCATGAAGCTGAGTAGCAGTTTAGAAGGAACAGATCCCGTACATTCAACCTCCTTACATCATGGAACAGTTGGACGAATTGCTGAGACCAAAAGTCATCGGTTCATAGGACATTTATTGATTCCTCAGAAGTATTTGGCACAGTAATGCACTTAGTCTCCATTGTCCTTCTCTATGCTGGCTCTGAAGTTATCTGAAGCACTGACTACGTCACACCAATGAATACAGGTTGATCTAGAGCTAGAAAGTTTCGACGTAGGGAATCTCACAAAAAACGTTTTAGGTCCAGCTCTTTTTATTTTGATCAATAATCTCCTAGACAAAACCAACTCACCGACTGCCGCATACGTTGGTGATGTCAAGATGTGGAGATCTACAAGAAACGAAAAAGATCCATTTGAGTTCCAGATAGATCTCTCAACAATGAGTAAATGGACAGTGGGAGCCTGTTTAAATTTAGTCTGTCAAAATATCGTGCTATAAACATTCAGCCCGATGGGACACAAACAACCTACATTGTCAATGAAAATCCGCCCCCAACTGTGGCCTCAAAGAGTGATCTAGGGCAGTTAACTACAGGGACGTTGGACACTAGCTCAAATTGCATTGTAGGTGCGGCCAAAGGAAATGAAGCCCTTCACCCTAAGAAAAGATTATTTGACGCAATCAGCCCAGAATTGGTTTCGGCCCTTTTTAAAGCATATTCAAGTAGCAACTTTAAAGTTCACAAAGTTATTGAACCTCACCTCAAAAAAAGACACAAATCTCTTGAACGAAGTATAGAGACAGGAAACTAAGTTGGTGATAGGGCTGAGGGACAAACCTTACAAAGGTAGACACCTAAACTTCAGATTGTGTTCACTGAGCTAAAGAGGAATAAGAGGTGATCTGGTGGTGGTACGCATAACACTAAGTATGACAAGTTGCCTCAACACAAATATCCTATCAGAACACCATTATCACACTCTACGAGATGATCTCCAGAAAATTGCACGTCAAAAAGAAAAGAATTGGGTACTCTTCCGATTTTCTGCATTAATAGTTGCTTCTGTTTGGAAGGTTCTTCCAGGTGAAGTGACCATAGCCTATTCAGTGGACGGCTTCAAGAGGAGATATGACAAACACGTACTCACGTCTGGACCAACTGCCTCGCAACCTATCTTCCGTTAACAACTTCATATATGACTAACTTATTCCTGTCCTCTTATTATGATATCCGTTTACCTTTTATTCTTATCTATCGGTCTGCTCATACTATCTACATCACTAATTATTTGGCTTATTTACTCCTTGAAGCAATCGTCTATATTAGCATTCAACTTTTCCTTCCATTATTTTCCACATTACAATCAACCGACCAGAGTCCGATGGTCTGATATTTGTGAGTTCCGGAAACCCTAATGTCCTAAGACAAACTCGCTAAAATTATGAGATAAACAAACCAACAAATAGCTAACAAACTGACTCGAACGAGTGTGGTCGTGCCACTAGACTACCTCTCACTGGAGATTAACAAGGAAATGAAACCGTAACAAAAAGAAGTGAGGGCAAAGAAGTTATTTGATTTAAGTAAGCTCATAATAGAGATACTAGATATTGAAATCAGTCGACCGTCCTAGAGATTACGCTGACAGCGTAAAATACTGAAAAGTAAACCGTCATAATACTTCGTCCGTTATCTTACTGCAGGTTAGGGGTGATCTAATATTGGCTTATCGTAAACTGAACGATGACCCTGGTATTAATATGTCCTATCTTTTCCTTCCCTCTGGAACCGATCATTTGAGAGGACAATCTAGGAAAGTTCAAAAACCGAGTTCAAATCGTCTACGTCTGCATTTCGTTTCTCGTACCGAGTAGTGAACTACTGGAATTCTCTACCGGAACACGTAATATTATCACCTTCTGTTGATATATTATAAATGAGACTGGACCTCCACAGTGTTACAAAATGCAAGGGTTAATATAGGTTGATAGACCTCCTATCCTTAATACTGAGGACTGAAAGTTGCGGCTATTGTAAAATGAAGGTCAAATCGAAAAAGAAAAGTGTGAAGAATGAGGTTGTTCAGTCTTGCGATTAATACTTACTGCCGATTTAGGAAGAAAACGAGGAAATGTATGTCAGATTAGGAGATGTACCTCTGGACATATTACGGTATAATATATCGATGCAATCAGGAGTGGAACGAAAGGAAACTCGCAAATCCCTACTTCTCAAAATGGGCGCTAAGAAACCGAAAAACCCATACATTAATTACAAAGAACTCATGCAGAATAAGGCAAAGGCTAAGGCTGAGGCTGAAGCGTTTGCTTTCGATGTAAGTCTTACTAATTCGGTACTGAGTATGCGGTAATTGTAATAGCGCAGTGCTAGTTTCGTCAACAAAAAGCTCCCTTTAAAGCAGGCAAAAAAGAAACGGAAAAACCAACAGAAAGACAGACCAAGAAAAAAGTTGGTTTGCGATGTATTATATGTTTATAATTTAGAGTATCCAAGCCACGGAAGCATCGCTAACACCTGGTATTATGTAAACGTATTTCAATCATCAGATTTGTATATAGTCTTATCGAAAATTCGCTCTTTGGAAGGCCTAAATAAATGCTTCTCGGTAGTGTTTAGAGTTTTTGAGCCATTCAGTTCGGGATCCCAAGTTTCACAATAAACCTTTCTGCACCCTCGTAACATGACTGTTTCTAATGTTAGGTTTTATTTGGATTTTTAGCTGGCTAAAACCTACTATAGACTTACTGTGGTCACATGGTATTGGCACAACCCGTAAATAGAAGTATAGGCTTTTAGTCCTGGAATACCTCCATTACTGGTATATACATCTTATAACTTGCTTTTTTTTTACATGAACTTGACTAGTTTCTCCATTAGCGCCAGAGCTCACTTTTGCCAAGTTTTATCTTCATAGTTACATCGCATTATGTCTGGAAGCTGCTATTGCTTGAACCGTTTTTTAAAAAAAAACGAAGCATTACAGTTGCTCTTAATAGTTTTATCAAGCGTTTTTGCGTTCGGGTGTATATCATATAAATAACCTATTTGTCCTACTTTGAATCGCTAATATTCCTGAAGTTTTTTTAGTGTTCATCGGTCCACGACGGTAAAACTGGTCAGTTTTTAGAAAATCTAATCTGTACCTGTGTGAGGTGGTTAATTAGATTTAATGTACTGATATCACACGCTTGAAAGGGTGTACTATGTCACCTGTTTTTTTTTGCCGTAAAGCCTACTGACGTAATAAACCAAGTTAATGCAGTATAGATTTACGGGTTGAGTACAGATCATAAGAAACAAGCTGGTATGTATTTCCCATAAATGATGGTTAACTTGCTATTGTGCTTACAAGAACGTCTTAGTGATTTTCGCGAGATACCTTGTCTGTTGAGACATTCCAGTATCTATATTGTAGTTTACAACCAAATGTTTTTTTCTTCAGTCTAGTATCGTAAAAGCGGTTCTATTCATTTTTATAAAATCCGTGGCTTAAATTTATGTTGTAGCTGTCAGGATTCACTTGTCTTGCATTAATTAGGACGTATATTTTTTAATTTGTGTGCTTTGTTGCCGAAATTCCACATCAATTTTCTTGTTTATTACATTTTCACCATTTGGGTGAGAACGAAACCACATGGAAGTTCTAAGGTGGTAAATAAATAAATATAACACATGGGATGGATTCTTCAAATCCTTTTTTACTTTCCAGAACTAGTGGTTATGATTTCCTATGGCAAATGCTTTGGACCACTGTCCGTTAAGTTTGACTACGCACTTATAATTTTCAACTAATAAACTCGAAGCTTCTTACAGCACGAATAAGATCGGAAAATCGGAGGATTTGCATGTAGAAAGTAAAAAAGTTAATCAGTATGGTAATTTTCCTTAAAATACTAGTCGTGAGACGAAATTTCATCTCCCACTGACTGGCTACTAGGTTTTTTAATGCAAAGGTAATTGTTGACGGTATTAATAGTTCTCAAAAGAGTTAGGCCATAACTAGGACTTTTGAAATATTGTTTGCCAGTTCCAGAAAATCAGTCTTATTTGTTGAAATCTTATTATCTTCTGTTGCCCTGATGCTAATTCTAAGCTCCACTTAAAAATTTATATTCTCACACGCTTAATAGATTTACCCCATTTATTTATCAAAATTAGCATTAGGGGATTTAATTTTATTTTTAACTAGCCCATCAACAAACAAACGAACTCGGCTTGTAGTAAAAAAGTTATTATTTCTTCCATAAACTTTTTATCTTCCTGTCGATGTGTATTTTGTGATATCATGGGTAATAATGAAACTGCCGGGTTCTGAGTCTGATAATTGATGCCTTTCAGCTCGTGTATTGGCAGTTGAGGCGAGTGACCATATCACTATTCCATAGCTAATAATGAATTCACTAAAAAAACAACTCAATCGAGTTGTGTGAAGAGTGTGTAATCTGGCTAAATGAGGTTTTCAGGAACCTAGTAATTTTAATGATGAAGCGTTAAATAGTCTTTAAGTAGGCGAACATTTTACATTGATATGGTAATACTACTGCAATCTAAACAAACTCATCATCTTTGTATAACCAGACTGTATTCGGATGCTCGACGTTTTACATGAAGTTATTTGCAACAGATTTAAATCCTAGTTCGTTACAAGGATGGTTTGTAATTAAATGTGAATGAGAATGTCTTGAAGTGTAGTGACTCTTGTTTGGTAATCGAATATTAAAAAAAACAAGATTTGATCAAACGATTTTGTGTTTTAATGAATTTTCAAAACAAATTCCAAATAATGACTAGGCAAATATTAGAAAAAGCTCTGAACAAATAGGTATCGTACAACGATTTTTCAGTAATCGTAATTTCACATTTGTACACGTTCGTGTAGCGGATATGAGCTGAACTCAGTTCGTGTTCCACAAGAAGAAGAGGAATTGGAGAATTAAGGGCGAAAACACAGGACATAGGAGGGGGGCCAACTGGATATTGTGTAGTTATTCTTCCCGTATAGGGGTAACATTTTTTACTTGCATATTGATAATCAGACTAGAATAATTTATGATTTACTAGAAGTGAAAGTATGAATATAAGAGAATTTATTAAGACAGGATTGGATCAGCTGATTAAGGTATATTACAAAGTGATGTGATTTAATATGGTTTACAATTTACTAAATTTATTCACACTGATGTAAGCAATGTGTGCATAAACGTGTGTCGTAATAGTGAAATATACTTTTCGTAGATTAACAGTAATAACAGAAGTAATAATTATTATATTTGCACTATTACTTCCTCTTTGAGTTTATATTTGTCAAAAACGATATCAATTTAGCTTTAAAAGGTGAAAAGATGTTAGTAAAATTAATGGTAGTAGTACTGATGGGATAAAAAAGGGTTTTAGTGCACATTATAGTGATTGTTTCATAATGATTAAATTAGTTAAAAGACATAGTAGGGATACTTAACAATTAATTTCACATATCGTATTCGGGCCAATTTAATATAGGAAATTGATTTGTTTTTTTTTTCAAATAATGATAATTTATAGGCTCAAAATATTACAGATACTACTACTCTTAGTTGACACCTTTTGATTTATCTTCTCTTGGACGTATTGTAGAATCACTTGTACTCCGGTTTATTGTAGCTGTACTATCTCTTGACTCATGCCATGTAGAACGACTAGCAGCAATCGGTGTTCTAGGTAGGGAAGATTGCTCCAACGGACTAATATCTGTATTTGTTGTGATATTTTCTTCAGGACGTTGTCTATTTCTTTCATCACTATGATGTTGGGTCGAGGGGTTTGTTTTATCTATTTTTGTCGTTGATTGATATGGTCTTGATTCAATAAATGATCTTCTTGGTTTTATTAATAAATTTGATCCCGTTGATCGGTTCAGTCTAGCAGGTATTGAGCCTGTTAGTTGGTAGTAGTATGGGTCATATCTAGATGGTGCAGTAGTTGGCTTGTACAGTCCCACCAAGAATGAATCCTATAAATTATAAAAGTATAATTTAGTATTGAATGTGATCACGTGTGAAATGAATTTATACTTTACAGTTTCATTTTCTCCTCAGTACCATTAATTAATTTAAAAATGTAATTATCGAAATCTTAGTTTTGGTAGAGTTCTTGTACGTGATTTTGAACTTGAGGCTTTTTAACAATGCTTATCTCTGGTGATTGTACATCTACTTTGGTCTTAGTTTCGTCCAGGATGAGACGGATAAGTTCTTGCCCTCGGATTCCCTTTGTGTCTACGCTAATTTAATATTTTTGTTCGCTTCTTTAAACTGGAACGTCTTTTTTATTATTCATTTAACTAAATGTTGTTCTCCACAAGTTTGTGGAACTTAAAATTTTGAATGATATCGACTATACAGTAGCCTGGGAATCACGTTTTTCTGAGTGATATTATTTGTTAGAATGATTGTTTAACAACAGTTACATTCCTTTTTATCTAATTACGTTAACTTGGAAGTTGTAAGCTATTTACAGCTGACTGAAATCCTTAACTGTATGGATGACCTTATCAATTTAAAAATGTCTTAAGGTATATCTAGATCATTTTAATTGATTCCTAGTCTCAATAATTGTTCGTTCATATGCATGATTAATATAATATAGATTTTTCTGTTTTCCTCTTACCTGTTGACGATTATTATCTATTGAAGATTTCATTTCAGTATAATCATATCCTGTTGTAGTTACTGAACTTCCATAACTTGTTAAACTTGGCTGACTTTGGTTAACAGAAGATGGATTCTTTAAGTAAAGTAATTGACGTTTACTTGTTTCATGAGTTAGTTGATCTTTGAGTTGTTGAATCTGTTATGAACACAAAGAAAGATAGGTAGAAAGTGAATTTAATAATGTATTCCTTTATAGTACTTAGTAATATGAAGTTTTAATGATAAAACAAATGTATCAAGGGGTCGGCTAGGGTAATACTACCATTGTATCTTGAATTTTCGTTGTAACGGTTTTTAGTTTATATATATATATACGCCCACACTACATTACCATATTTTCTCATATAATGTATTTCAGTAAAACAATCAACGATATCTTGAGTTGAAATTATTTAAAATACATAATGAAGCTGGTTGTAAGCCAATAACTTTTCAGTTTGTATATTCAATATTGGGTTAGCACATTTACAGTGTAATACTGGGAAAGTTATTATTACCTTAAAATATTTTAGTAATCACCATAAATTAATAGTTTTACGATCTTAAAAGATTAGATATTTATTTCTTAATTTTGTTGATTATCCAAACGGATTTGAATTTTTGAATGGTTCTTGCGTAGTATGTCTGTTGCAGTGATAAAAATCAAGGTCAATCCCTTATGGCTTGTGTACCTGACAAAAAAGTACTAATCTTCCTACGAGTATACATACAAATATCAATTAAGTTGTAACAGAAGCAAAACAACACATCGAGTAAGCAACTGAATTAATGTGAAATATAATAACTCAATGTTGCTCACGAATTAAATCGGCTGGTTAGTAAAATTAAACTTTTATAATTAACAGAATTGTAATCAAGGTATTAGACATGTTGTAAAGTTGTTTTTTGTAGGAACGATTGAAGTATAAGAGTGTTTATAGGTTGTTAACATAATAATGTGGTCCAATATCTACTGTCAGGCTTAATTATGTTGTTGTTGTTGTTGTATCAAAGTGATCTACTCATATTCAGTTGATTTATAAGAAGCTCTTAGGATCTTAGTCGTTATAGTCATTCGTATAGTTCTACAAGTATTTTGTTAAACTGTGAATTTTGATTAGCTATTTTTCATTATTGATTATTGCTATGATGTATAGTCTAATTTTAATTGAGGTTATCACACTGAATAGGTTTACTAACTAATTGTATGGCATTCCTATGTCTCTACGATAGAGAAGTTTCTCAAAACGTCTGCAGTTATTGTACGTAAAAAATGAATTACAGATTTACAAAACCCCTAAGTTCTTAAGTAGTTTCTAACAATACATAAAAACATAGTGCGACGCCGGTTCAACTCCTATAGAGAGTATCAGGCCCTCACAATTCTAGGTATGCCTTGCTGATGAGTTTCAAATAGCATGAAACCCAGGTTCAGTGTTATCTGCCGAATGCCTCCAATCACCTAACATAAATGAAGTCTAGCGAAACAGAAGAATACGAGGTTTCAAGCTGGCAGAAATTAGCTTTTCAATTTTTCTTGAAAAACAAGGTCCAATGAGTTCATGCATGTGAAACATGATTGATTTAAAAATCCATCTGGTTCATTTGTCAATTTTTTTCCTAGATTACTTTATTTCCATCATGTTCAATAAATTGTTAGAAATAAAAAGCAAAATTGATTGATGCTACTATTAAGCTGAATTTCACATGATGTATCGTAATAGGTTATACATGATAGGTAGTTTTCGAAACGTTAAAAATATTTTTCGAAAGATCACTTTAAGCTAAATGCCTATTTTCAGCAATTATCTCACTAAACTTTGTTTTTTTAGTTTGGGTAATCAGTTTCGTACTTTTAGTTTATGAAGCTGCAATTCTGTCCCTAGAAGCTGAGAACCCTAATGGGGTCGATCACCCTATTTGTGGTTCTTAAATACCATAACGTCACACCGATCTTAGCAAACCTACACACACTTCTCTCATTTGCTCAAAATAATAATTAGTTTCATGTATTAGAAACTTAAGTTTGTTAATATTTAAAATTATGACTTTATATAGAAACGTAAATTCTACAGTTGAGATCTATTTATCGCAATACGGGCACACCCAAGGAGTTTTCAGTTTGCCATTTATGTAACACGATGTTTGGATAGCTAATAATAACCTAGCGACCAGATCTTTGTAATGAAAGCCATTTAACCGTGAATAGTTAGGTATTTAAGGCCAAATAACATTTGTTTGTAGGCTATCCATACATGGATAAATGTCAACAGCTCTATCATTAATTTTGTTTGTTCATCTTTAACCCTATTTTACGCTTGGAATAGTTTTATTGTCAAAATAAAACGGTGAAAAAGCTTATGAGAGTGGAGTTATATTTGTTATAAATTTATTCTATTGGAAGAGCGGTAGGGAGGATGTGAATGTCATCATTTATTCGTCATACTTTTTTGTAGTAAAATTTACAAATTAGAAAGTATATCATTTAGCGGTGATTAACACTTATATCTTACTACCGTCTACATCTTTTTTTCTCATGTACAACTCGTGCTTTTATGTTTATATGTAGCTGAATAATAAAGACATAGTTACAACGAACAGATAGTGCTCATGTGATCGTCTAGGTGGAATGGAGCTCAAAGTTATGATCCTTTTAATTTATCTGCTAGACATGCTAAAAATTCATCTGTTACTTGAGTAGTGTATTATGCAAGTGATGGCAGTACGAGAGTTGATTACACTATGAATCAAGCTTCGTCGTTGAAGATGTTTATACCCTGATACTACTTAATAATTTAAAGTAGCGTAGAAGAACAACAACAAATGAAGTAAATGATTAATATGTAGAACCTGGTCTTCAAGTCCACGTATACGTTGTTTATAGCTACGTTCTTTGAGTTGTAATGTTTTTTGTGTATCATTTAGAGCGTTTCTTTGTCGATCTAACTCATTTTCTAATTCTTGACGCTGTTTTGTATTGACTTCGATTAATTGAGCTGCATACTGTTCGTCTTGTTGAGCCATATGTACCTAAATATTAGATAAAAGACTGCGTTTTAATCACTTTCTGTAAGACAATTTCGTGTGTATAAACGCAAAATTGGCAGAAAAAACCATTGTTCAATTTTCAAAACACCAAGGTTTTGTTTAAAAAAGAAGTTTATAGAGTAATTAGTAAAACTGCTATTGGTTATTGTTTTATCTTAGCAAGGTGCAGATGTCGTACAAATCGAACGGTTAGTTGTCTTTATAAATGTTTCTAGGATTGTGGCACTATTTTTCTTTTGAAGTAAGGATATCATCTTTAAAAATGGTTACTGAATAAAAATAACTTGACTTTTGCCGGAAATATAACATAATTACAACTCGGATTTATTGTGGACTGATGATAAAACTAACGAAGTACAGATTCATGTAATTGGCTTTGATTAATACTTTATATTTGAGGGGTAGTGATACTACGTTGTTACGCAAACCGAAGTATATAGAAGAAGATTTGGATCTGCTGCGCAGTGGTTGAAAGTCGAACGACCTAACCACTAAGCTACGGCACCACGGAGACTAGTGAGGAGGATGAAATAATTTATTTATTCACTTACTTCGAATACGTAAGTTATGTCCGCCAACTTTTTTAAAAAAATGGATGAAACAAATATTTAATTTAAAGTAATCTTTTAGATCGAATTCAATTTTTATAATCTATAGCGCGATTCTACTAAATCTTTTTAGATAAGAAGACAGAGTCAACATCAACTCTGAGATGCAGATACATCCAGCTGACGAGTCCCAAATGGGACGAAACGCACATCCTGGATTTCACTGCTAGCCACTATCCATCGTTTGTCATACACCTGTATTATCTATAAAATAAAAGTAACTATTACTTATCTACAAAACACTACTATGTAAAATATTCTCAGTAGTAATAATTTTATTGTAAACTTAAGGAATAACTTTACATTCAAAATGTTTTTTATAAGAGTTCTAAAAATAATAACGATATTAGGGTATTTATGGTTTTTCGGTACACTTGAGTTAGCCTTCTAGTACTTTATAGGGTCTTGATAACTTAACGAACAGAAAGTGAATTCAAGTGTGAATTTTTCCTGCTAATAGGCTGAACTACTACAAGTTCACAAAAAATGCGTTTTCCATATGGTATTACATTGGCGATATGAAACGAAATCCATCGCAGTAGTGGAATTACATTCATCATCGGAATCTTAAATTAAGTATGATTTCTAACTTTTCATATTTTCACCTCATTCCTTGTGAACTGTATTTCTCACGCTTAAATTTCGGTTGTAATTGGAATTATATTCTTTTCGCCTCTCACCTTGTTACTTTCTTACTTCAATGAACCAATGTAAGGCGTAACAATGTGGATCGGTATAGATTCGTATCAAATCCTACGCTGATAACAACTGACTGACTTTTGATACTGTCAACGTAAGTAAAACCAATCCAGCATATTAGTATGCTTACTATAAAATGACATAAAAGTTTCGTGTTTATTTTGCCTCACTTATGACAAGATAGTTTTCAGTTAACAATCAATGAATTATGTTACTATTCAACGTATAATCACATGTTTATTATATATCTGGCATAACTTTTTTTAAGGCAAATGATTAAATAGTAAATCATATTGAATGGATAAATAAACATTAAAACTATCTCTCTTTTTAATTTACTTGAAGTTTTTGTATTTCTCGACGTAAATTTAATGTTTCTTCTTCAAGTCCACGAATAGTTGTCATCAATACGGAATTTTCATTACGTAATGTATTATTTAATTCTTGTTCTTTTGTACGTTCTCTTTCCATCTAAATTTGTTAACAGAAAAAAAAGAGACTAATTATAGAACTAGTTCTAATATTATTTAAATAAAATTCTCTAGAAATATTTATGCGTGAATACTTTTCTTGGTTTTAGTAAATTAATTTGATGATCCCTAAAATATAAGAAAGGACAAAAATAACTGATATCCGTCTAATAAATACTGATTCTAGGCTTTATTGGAACTTTAACTTCATAAGCAAAAGTCCTGAATTTCAACAAATAGTATCGTAAATAAATACTACTCAGGGAACTTTATCAGATATCAGATCGTTATTGACGAATAATATACTGATTCATTTTGTATTGTTTGCTTGAATCTTCTCATTGACGTTTAGGACTGCAATCGATCAGTCTGGTTAGCGCTTAGCATTTAAGGAATTCTTTTCATGTATAATAACAATAATTGTTGATATGAAATAACAAGGAACTCGGGTAAATGTTCACAAAACAGGATTAATAAATCATTTCTCTGATGTACTAAAAAAAGTGAACTTTATTAGGTGGCTGATTTGAATAAATGCGTTTTTGAAGATCAGTCTATTGAAGAAGAGAAAATTCTATGATTAGAGACTGGGAGATGAAGAAGATAAACGAAATTCTACATCTATGTCAATAGTGTTGATCATTGATTGGAAGTAGTATATATATATATGTTTTAGTACAAAAGAGACGTTTCTAGCTCGGTTTTAACTTTTAAAATCTGACATGAATGGAGAGACTAAGTTTAGTTCAGGTTTAAATTCTAACTAAGAAATCAAATCTAAACTTCGCTCTAGCAGTGCATGTTAGTAATATAATATTTGATACTGTAATTCAAAAATGTCTCACTAAGCTGTTCAACTAAAGTTAATTTTTCTAATTTTTTATCTACAGCACTTACAACAATGATAAGGATGTTAGACTACAGTTTAGTATTAAATAATATAAACGACAAAGTTCTCCATTGTATCAATTGAACTTCACGTAGGTGAAAGTTATTTTTGACTAAACTGTTGACTTATATGTATATGTACTATGTTTGAAATAATCTCAGCGATTGAAATTTAAGGAATTTCAACGTTTCATCCAGCAATTTTGTTTGGAATTTTTCAGGGTATTTATCAAAATTATCAAAGAACAAATCTGCACTAAAAGCTTATTTAGGAAATTATAAGTCAGTTAGACGTATATAATGCAATAAGTCCACCATGTGAACATAATAAATGTGTATGTATGTGTACTTTTATGTTATTAGTAATTACAACTACGTGAATAAATGCAGTCTCTTTCTACTATCATAAACATTTTAACCATTCTATTTATGATTAATAATAATAGTACAATGGAAAAGTTTTCTAAAACGTCGAAGTGTATGTACAATGAGAAACGTGATTTTAAAACATTCGAATTAATTTCTTTTTGTTGGAATAAAGCTACAGGTGATATAAACAGGGTAGATAGAGATAAAGTATGGATTACATGTCATTAAGCATTTTCCAAAGGGTGGCTAGTTGCGTTCTATATTTTCTGTTCAGGCTGTTCTGATTAGCCCATATATACAGCGTTTCTGTTGTCAACCTTGCTTTGCGCGCGCCGAACCCTTTCTGAAGTGGTTTCTGTTAAATTATTCGTTCAAATTTTGACGAATATTCATATAGACTTGATTATTATAGGGTAATTAACTCAAGTAATATTTACAGTATGAACAAATATTTCAGAAAATGTTTCAAGAACATAAAAAACACTGTATAGATTTAATGGCATCTGAAATAAACAGTGATTATTTTAAAACTCACTTTTTCTGCCATTTTCTTCCATTGAATTTGTTCTTTTCTTACTCGTGTTAATTCACAATCGATTTCATGTTTTTGTATTCCGGCATCATTCATACTTCTTAATAAGTTGGCATTTTTTTCAGTTAGATTAGCATTTTCAACTGAAATATATACATATACATATATATTAAAAATAAGTAAGTTGGTTAACTTCTAAATCAAATAAAGTCATCATTCCAAAGATTAGTTGTATGCATAAGAATCAGTATTTGTTTCTAATTGTTGTATACAAAGTATGTTTTAATCTCAATTTCAGATAAATAACAGATACTTACATTCAGCCATATTTTTTTAGATTCAAATGTTTGTATACATTTAATTACTTTCAGCTTATTTAACAGTAGTGATTTCCATTACAATTTAAGTATGGTTATTCTTATGGATAAGTTATATAATACATGCTTTCAAAGTGTATATGTAATTGCTTTCTTTCTTTGTTTGAACCAGAGTGATATTTATCTATTTTGATTATTTAGGCAGAGTATACTTATTCGTTTATGAGAGCCAATACATAATGTAAATAGCATTGTAAAATACTTTTATAGGCTTCTTAGCATGCTTATAATTAGTCAGAAATTTTTTTATCATCATAGGTAAGAAACGACAGTGTAATATATGATCATCCTACTTCGTGATTGATTTGCTGAATAGTAAGAGAAGTAGGAACATAGGAATGTTAAAATACGTCATTATTTCCATGCATAGCTTCCCCTATATCGTTGTTCCATAACTTTTCAGTGAATTTCTTAGTAGCGTTTTTGTATTAGAATTTTATATAAAACTATCTATGACCATGAAAAAGATTCAAAAAGTAACCTGTTTACTCTCAAATAATTGAGATTCTTTAGCGACGTTTTTATAATAATAATAATAATAATAATAATAATAATAATAATCGGATTGAACTTTAAATCTTTAAAGAATAATAGATTTTTTAAGACTATCATACTGCTAACGGTTTGATTGGTTCTCTAGCAAATTGTTTTCGATTTCTACAAACTTCCTCATCATTTTGACTGAAAAACAGCTTCAAAATTACAAATTCTTTTTTAACACCATAGCTGACTCGAACCTATAGTGTAATTATATCCTTTTCAGTTATTGTATAAATGTAGTTTTAAAAGTTTTACTTTTCTCACCCTGTATATTATTGATCTTCATTTGCAATTCATTATTAGTATGTTGACATTCTGTTGACAATCTTTCTAATTGTTTTAGCTGTATTTCTACTTCAGAACGTTTAGCAGCTGCATCTGTCGTTTCCATTTGTAGTTTTTGTACACGTTCCATCATTTCATGTAATTGAACTTTAGTATCATTTAACAAGTTCTTATTGTTATCTAAACGTTCCTAAATTAAATAGGCAAATTAATAAACGTACTTATTGGTACGGTTTACATTGATGTAAGTGTAGACAAAAGGGAAAACAGTTTAGATTTTGAGTTGTTCTTTAAGAAAAAAATACCATTTTTGTTGTCATAATTCATCGTTAAATACATTCAAGTGTTTCGTCCACAAAATGGTACGGCAATCGTGTTTGTTTTCGAATTTTATGTAGATTCTGCTTCTTTCCAAGCTTCATTTTTCTTGATCAATTATTGTCGTTCATTTCGATGTAATTTATAGAATATCGTTACTGAATACGATTCTGTGCTGATATGAACATTCCTATCAGTACAGAAAGGTGTTCTCACGCATCGTTGTTTAATAATGGTGAGAATTTTTTAAAATAATTAAAATATTGTGGGCGACCTATTTCATCAAAAGTCCTCGATAAATTGCTGATGTATAAAATCATTGTGGAATTGATAATATGAATCAGGTCACCATCTAAAATTATTTTGGTAATCACTGAGTTGTAATGAAGTAGTCTATCAGGAAAACATTAAATCGTTAATTATTCAACTAGACTTACTCGTTTCATTCTGCTATTAAAAAGATGAAGATGAATACTTATTTGTAAAAAAATTTGTTAATGAATTAGCGGATGACTTCGAAGTCTCACTTGTGAACTACATTACATGGATTACTAACCATAGGACAAAACGAAAACTTGTGCAATTATTAAAAGAGCTAGAAAATCTAACAGCTAAAGTTCACATATCTTCCTGTTAATTAAAATCTGTTTACGTTTTGGTTAATCAAATTTAGTTATCAAAAAAGTTTTCAACCACCAGCTAATTTCAACCTTAAGTCACTCAGAGTACCAGTCTTGAGTGGTTATTAAGTTTCAGTAGTCATCGAACGGAGAACGACAATATGCCATTGAATAGGTAATAACATCGATTTATAATCAATAGTAGTATCCTCACTTGTGTATGAGAAACAGAAATTGCAACTGTAACTGAACAAGTTTACCTAGTGATATAATCCGAAACGAGAAATTATATACTCTAATAGTAGTTAATAGCTATTGTAAGTCAATGACCAAACTGACATCGTGATTGTGACTGTGAAATAATAGATACTGGCTTTATTTATCCTCTCTGCAATAGGAACAGAGTGGTCGTGAGCGGTTCTAGGTTTCATTTACCAAATACTAACATAAGTTTGGTAGTGTCAAGGTATTTAAAATGAAAAGTCTGTCCAAATCTTCCGGATAAGCACTGATGATTTGAATTTATTAGGTTTAACAAACTATTTTTGGTTAGCTAAATCGACGTGTTATAGTTTGTTCAGAACGGAAAGCTATTGTTTCATGTTGAAGTCATCTGTCACTAGTGTAAACGAACTCTTTAAATACTACTCATTCGGTATGCACGCATTATTGTGGGTCTTAAACATGATTACATCCATCAGTCAAGTGTCTCTAGAAAACTCAGGAAACACTTCATAATTCTACAAAGTTTCATGGGTTTGAGTAGTGATCGTAAGTGCTATTGAAATAAGTGACGGTTTGTATGATCGGATGTTTTGAAATGCTAATTATAATATTATTTTTCCATTTATGATTGATATTAGCACGCTCAAATAAACTAAAAGACTGTATTGTTATACCTGTAATAAGCGTTTTTCTTGTTCTGCATTCAGTTCGCGTTTCTGTGATGCTTCCATGTGTTCTTGTGTTCTAGTTAATTCTTGTTGTAAATTTGCATAAGCCAGTTTTTCGCGTGTTAGTTGATCACGTAACTCAGCTACACACAAAGTTGTTTGATCTAAGGCATTTGTAGCTCTTTCTAATTCGATTTGAAGATTGTATATTTTCATTTCCATTTCGGTACCTTGACGTCCACTCACATTTAAACGGGATTGTAAATTCTGGTGTAAGATGAATCGAAAAAAATTCAAGTGTTTCAGCATTTAGATTTAGTGGAAGTGATTGTGAATAATTGAAAATATTATTTATGTGCACGGTCAACAAAGATTAACTGTAAGATTAACCACTGACACATCTACAAACAAATCACTGGTCACGTATATTCATTACATCGTACTGCTATTCGATCCTGATACTGATTATACATGCTACCTATAAGCAACCTGAATCTAGTGAATGGTAAGACTAAAAATGACTGAGTGGCTAACCAAATCATTTATATACTCGACCCATTGGTATATGCATATATTTATCCAAACCACGTCCTAACAAGTTGGTTTTTACCAGTAGCTCACTTCCTTTAACGTCTCTCACCTAACATTTGGTCTTAAGCTATTATGTGCTCACAAACACATATTATATTTAAATTCATCCAGAGAGCTTCCACTGTACATGAAATCTCTTGTATTAAGACTGTGGTTGGTTTTTATTTACTCAGATAAGATTAAGTGGTGTGGGTCTCAAACAAGTTAACTAAACAGCTAAAAGGTGATCCAAGTCATGAACCTACTATTTAATATTATTTATCCATTCGAAAATGCATTTCTAAATTTTTCTATCAATACAAGTTTCTATACTTCTATAGGTTTTTTGTATTAGTACATTCGTTTACCATTGTTTAATAGTTAGATTTGTTCCATAATATTTTAATGATGAACATAACTGGTAAATATCAGGTTTATATGAGTAAAATTTGGTGTTGAATTTCATTATAATCTAGACTTTGATCATAAATGTTTATTTTATGTTTCGGCGAAAATTTGAATTAAAATTCCAACTAGTGATTTGAAATATATTGAAAATCAGAAAGCTGAAAATACAGTATCACTACAGATTTTCTTAAGAATAAACCTACAAACTGATCTATCTATCTCATACATATGTTTATTTTATACAAATAAAAAGACTAGAGAAAATTAATTTACAATGCATTTAGGTTTTTCATATTTAATTTTAAGTACACCATTTAGAATTTAAGTTTCATATCACAGACTGGTTTTTCTTGGATAATCACTGAAAACCAGGACAGTTGTCTGACTTCATTATCGTACTTTCCAGGAGTGCGTAAACACGACCCCTTGATTGGTCTTCAGGCCTCATGTCGACAGCTTAATTTTTTAGATTACTATGTTGATATCCAGTAATTGACATTTCAATCAACTTGTTATGTCCTTCAGTCATCATCCATTGCCATTTGTAGTATTTATTTCACATCTGACATAATTGAACTAAACTGGTTATGACTTCTCAGTAGAACTTCGGGAATTACTTCGCTAAATCAGTTACTGGTAATCACACGATGATTGTTATGACCAGGTGTTTAGAAGGTTGTTAACTTTGAAGTTTCACATTGCAGATTGACTTTGGTTAGACTGTATCCCTAAATAGCGACAGCCAATAGTTAATAACCGTCGGTTTGGGTTATATAGGAAACGGCAGGGTCGCTAAATTGTTAAATGAGGACTGCAAGCGAATTTCGAGATAGGAATACAGCAAGTCTTATACTTACAGACTTCAATATTTTTTCTGAAGCTTTGTAGTTATTTAAACGATTCGACGATAACTGTTTGTTTTAAGGCAAAATCATTGTTCATAGATTATTCGAAGTACTCACCTCTTTATCACTTTCTAATTCACTTAGTATAGTTTGACACCGTTGAAGTTCACCTTCCAGTTGACGTCGAACGATTTCAGCTTGTGTATAACGTGTTTCTGCTTCCTCTAGTGAATGCAATAATTCTCGTCTATTTTCTTCTAACTTAATTTCTGCAGCTCTAGACTTTTCTAGACGTATCTAAAAATTATAAAAAGATAACTAGATTTCTAAAAATGGATTTGTTGTGATCAATTTTAGGTGAAACAGTCCTAGATTATTGATTTTGAAGTGTTCTAACTTTCGTTAGACGCCTGGTTACTAACTGAATTTCAATTCTACGTAGTTTATCGAATATGAAGATGTTAGACACTTAATAGATGTCATGGGTAGTACTTTTAAAACTTATTATGGCCTAAATAAGACTGAGAGCATTGTAAAAACATTTTATTTGGCGAATGGACAAAGATAATATTCAGATGTTCCAGGTTTTTTCCAAAAAGCATATTGACTGACTTATTGATCTGTAGTAGTATAGTTTTATTTGTACTAATAATAGCAAATAAAGTAATCCCTTTATACTGATTAGATATATTTTTTTGGGAAACAAATGCAGCAAAATTCAAATCATATCCACTACTTATAATATCATACTGATTAAAAGGAGTAGGTGGGATCTACTCCAAAAGTTAAGAGGAAGCTGTCAGAAATGTTTACGCTTGACTAAAGTTCTTCAGTAGGCTATACCTTAAGGTTCTAAGAAATATATTTTGAAATTGCAGTATTGTAGCTTAAGGTTATGACTGATCCTATCAAAGATAAAAGTGTATATCAGTCATTTACTAATAACTCGTATCTTGTTCTAAACCTCAGTCACGAATCAGAGTTTTACCTTTATGCCCTACTACGCAATATAAAGAAGGCCGTTAAAACATATTCATTTTAGCTCAGTCATTCAAAACAAACAGAAAGTAAGGCTACTTTCTCACTTAACGCCATAGTTTAGTCATCATTCAAACTTTATATCACTATAATACACAATAAATGTTATTTAGTTATATCCTTTGTCAGTATACAGGTGAATTTGTATTATGCGTCGACATAATTAGGCCATAAAAATATTATTTGTCTCGTATAATTTCTCAAAACTAGCAATACAGAAAATTTTTTAAGGATATTGTACAAACAACAGTGATACTATATCAAGTTATCGAAGCATCATGTACCGATTTGTGTGTTCAAGGAAAACATATATATATCGCTTTGACAGAGGCACAAATGTACATAGACTATGAATTTTAGCCAGCCACAAGTTAGACTTAGCGACAGTAATAAGAAATTGCTGTCAGTATCTTGATCTAGGCAGATTCAAGAAAACACTACTCTGTAAAGTAAACTTATTATTTATATTGAAAATACTATTTTTCATTGATTTCGATAGAATAATGGTGAAATTATGCTAATCCACTAATTATCAGAATTGTAATAATTTTAACAGCTGAATTCATGAGTCAATCTAAGCTAAAACTACCACTGAAAACCTAGAAGCACTGGACGTCCGTTTCGTCCCAGTATGGGACTCCTCAGCAGTGCGCATCCACGATCCCGCACGTGTCCAGTGCTTCCAGGTCTTCAATGGTGGTCTAGCTTAAATTGACTTATGAATTCAACTGTAAAAATCCAATAATTATCTATTGTTAAAGTTATATCAATAAACAATTTCTATTCTTACCTGTAATTGATTTTTCTCAGCTTCACATGTACTTAATTGTTGTTCTAAACATTTGATTTGATTATGTAATGTTGTATATTGATATTCACGTTTGGACATTTCATTTTCATGTTCTGTAATTGTATTTTTCATTTTATTCAACTGTTCCATAATTTCTAATTTTCCTACATACATTTTTTTCCAAAAAATATTCATTGACGAAACGTTGAGAGAGAGAAATGAAGATTAGATTTCCTTAATAACTGGTACAAAAATACCTGTTTTGAAGTAACATTGATGTGTAAACTCTTGTCGCAAATATAATATTTTTTACAGTGAATATGTTACTTTAAATTTGGATCATAGCTAATATTTCGGTAGTACTGATGATGATATTTGGTATAACACTGAAATTTTTGTAAACTAATAGTTTTGAAAAAGTATATTTTAGAAAGCACTACGTTGGGAAATTAGGTAGTTGGAAGGGAAATGCCCAAATAACTCGTTGATGACGTCTCAGACTAAAAAAATTGGGTGAAACGCTTTTAGATCCCACACGAACCATTAGATCCTTCAAGATTGCAGGTACGGCTTACTGATGAGTGTCAACATGCACGAAATTTAGGTTAAGGGTTTCCTGTTAACTACTTGCAACCACCTAGCACCTCAATATTGTGCACGTGATATCGAGCCATTTGGGCTAGTAACCACATTTTAATGTGACCGATATGATTCAATCAGGACCAAAGGACTAGAAAAATATAATGCCATTTATTACTCAATCGTCAATCAATTATTAGAGAGCGTCAAAACAAAAATGTAAGAAAATTTAGAGTTGGAAGAATTAACATGTACTAATAATGTATGTGTGATGAAGTAACATTAGACGTGAATAAAATTACAGTCAGATACTAACTAATATACAGTCCGAATGTTTACTGGCAATGAAATGTGTGGTGATAGGATTGACACGTCAATGCACTGTAGATTAAGGTATTTAACTGAAACTAACCGAAATCAAATAAATTCAAATTATGACGTCAGTTTTCATCAAGGATGAAAATACTGCTTTCTGGTGATTATTATAAAAAATACGTCGTCTCTCACGAGGTTAGTCACTAGTGAGCACATAGTAATTATCAGTATAGGGTTGTGGAGATTATTAAGCTATTGATTGAGATCTTGAATCGATTGATGTTAGACCACCATTGAAAACCTGGAAGCACTGGACGGCCGTTTCGTCCTATTGTGGGACTCCCCAGTAGTGCGATTCTAGGTTTTCAATGGCGGTCTAACATCAATCGGTTTAAGATCTCAATCAATTGTTTTATTCACGTGCTATAGATCAACACCAGATTTTTACAAGAAATAATGTATCTAGCTGGTAACATAAATTTAATTCGATTGGTTAAGATAAGAGAAAGGGAATGTAGTTATTATCTGATTTGAAAATTTATAAAATTATATATGTGAATATAAGTTCTTAGTTAAGCCCGATTTCAATAATTAAATTTTATACCAGGAAGTAATAATCTAAGAAAAATAGTTTTTAGTTTACTTTGTAGTGTCGGTTGCTACGTCAAACCCACATAGCTTATTCTAGCTTTCGGTCAGACTAATTTATTCATTTTCCTTGAATCATATTTTGACCTTGTTAATTATTCGCTTATCAATCTTGGCTGTTTTTATGTAAGCGTGTGTATGTGCATTTCTTATCTTATCACATGGCTGTAACTCATTTTCATCTTACTACAGGCTCACATGCCTTCTCCGGTTTGTTTCTCTTTGCTCTCTGCACTCTCACACTCGCTTTCCTGTGTGATTGCTACCTGCGTTGCTTGAGTATTTTTTATCAATCATTAACAATATATACTATCTCTACAACTGGTGTTCTGGATTTTGAACAATCTCGAGTAAATTCATGATACTACAAGGAGATTTGACGTTCATAAATACTCAGTTAACGGGATATTATTTATTGGAGTCAGATATAGGAAAATTAACCTCTACAACTTATGTGAAGTTTGTCTAATTAAATCAGCGACTAATTTGGTATTTTATTTAAACATACCTTTTTCCATATCATTAACATTTGTTTTCATTTCATTCAGTTGTTCTTCACGTTCATTTAATTGTCGACTGTATTCTACAACTTTTTCTTCATTCAATTTTGCTTTTATATCAAAATCATCTCGTTCACGTTCAATTTTTACAAGATGACGTAAAAATCGTCTTAATGCTAAACGTACAGCACCTGGATCTAAATTGGAGCCTGGCAAAGCATGTGTTCTATAACTGTTCATATGATAACGTATAGTATCTAACCATTTGTAAGACCAATCAGATAAATGTGTTAGATAATCAGGATGGAATAATAATCCATTTTCATCACCTGAATAAAATGTACTATCAATTAATCTCTGTTGATCAGCTCTTTCAGTAGATGTTGATCGTAGGGCGAATCCATCGTACCTGTTTACTGTAACGGAAGACACATGACCCATGTTTTATTAAGCAGTTAGTACAAATCAAAATATAGATAGTTTCTCTCCACTTTAGAATATCCCAATAAATAAAGTTATTTTACAACAGCGTGTGTCAACCAGTAGACAAATGAGAAAGTTACGTTTCTTCCTATTTGAATATATATATCAAAGGCATTATTTGTAAACAAGGATATTGTGAGATAATTGGACAAAATAATAAAATTTCCCTCTATCTTAACTTTTATCGACTGTAATCTGATTTCGAATAAGATTACTTTGTTAAATTAATATAAAACAAATTACTTTTAAGAAATGAGACTTCTCTGTCTGTTAAGCGTTTCAGCTTTTTAATGGTTATGTGATTTTACTACATCTGTTTACAGACTTTGTTTTCATGTAAAGCAATATATCCTAATCTATATGATCCATACCTTGAATGATATGTCAGTTGGATCACAAACAACTGAAAGTAACTTGCAATATGATGTTGACTCAGATAACTTAGTAGCCGCCTGATCTACTGAATTTGATCAGCATTTAGGATCAGGATATATAACATTGATTACAACTCATTGGGGAATCATAAAGAAAACTCATTCATTTGGGGGGGATGTTCAACTAGGATATCTTACTATTAGTGTCACTAAATTACACAAGTCTGAATACATGAAGAAACGTCAGTTTCCCCATGATTGAAGGCTACCTCTGCCGATAGGTATCAGTCAACGCAAATAGTTGGTCAAGGACTCCCAGCTAATCGTATCAAACGATCCACAGAATATATTCTTTGACTGGTTAAGGTAACGATAGTCCACAAACCTTAGCTATAATTATGTCAGAACAGAAAAGAATTCATAAAAATCCGACTATTCTATCAATAAAACAGTTACATATAAAATACGTCACAGATTATACATAAAAATGAATTGTTTTAAATTTAGACAATTGTGAATGTAAAGTGATTAAATTATGCTGACTGACAAATTATCTGAGACTTAAAGTATTCTGTCACACTTCTTATCGTCATGTCACAGTGCATCTAATCTATACTTGTTTTATTGGTTATATAATTGTGTTGCTTAAAGGGTAGTTTTCAAAAGTTTGTTTAATTTATGAAAATGATTGTAATGTAGTTACCGAATGAGACTTATTAAAGTTGCATGTGTTCAATACTTAATATTTAAGACTTCAGGGCAGTCATAATCTATTAAGCCAATAATTAAGTTTTGGACTGTTAGGTAATTAAATTTATTCTCAATGAAGCATACCTCTTGTTGGTGAAGCCGATTTAGCGCGTCTTAAAGATTTTTGTCGGGTGTATTCTGGATCGGAATTAGTATAAGCTTCATATCGGCGTCGACCACGGACACGTGGTTTTGGGAATTGTTCACTTCTAAATGTATACAATACTTCAGGTTTTATGTCTTGTTGACTACTTAATACTTTTTCAGCCATCATTTTTAATTTTTTAGAATCTGAATCATTAAAACCATCGATTTGCTGTTCAAATGAATCTATTCCAGAAGTATTCTTCATATAACCATCATAATCCCATTGTGAATTAACATCATGTGATTTGTCCAGTTCATCTATGTGTTCAGCTAAACTCGAGTCGAAATTATCATTCAATTGTTGTCTTTGTTGTTGCTTATTCACATTTTGTAATTGAGTAGTATATTGAGATTGACGGAAACCAATTAAACGTCTTAATATACTATGTATTGCTGATAAACGTGCCTCAGCTTCTTGACGTGTAGTCAATGTTTCATTCAATTCTGATTCTAATCCTTTAATACAAGTTTGTGATTCAGCTAGTAATGTTCGAAGTTCACTGATAACTATATTTGAATTGTCCAACTGAAATAGTAACGAGTATAATAAAATCAACCTAAAATTTACATATTATCGCATAAGATTTTAAATACATGCAGTGTACACAAACTTGATAGGCTATACTAAGTTAGTAAATGATCAGTTTTTCTTATGTGACGTGAATTTATGTAATTTTTATGGGTTTCCATTTGAGAAGCTTAGTTCTACCTTTGTTTATAAGACCAATATCCTTAAGAACTCTGTTGGATGCAACTTAGGATAACCGACATAATGTATGACTATCGTCATCTGGAAAATCAATGAGTTTTTAAAGGGTTCATTTGATGGTGTCACTTTGTGATAAAATTTGTCTTCAAATATATAAAAGTCTCCGAGATACCATCTTACTGAATTTTGTATTCATTATTTTATAGAATAGCTAACCGATGAATTAACTGATTAGAGTTTTTATCAATAAATAGAATAGAATATCAAATGAATTATACAAGAGGTTTTTATTTCGTTCCCTGGAAAAAAACAGTCGGTGTTATTTACTATGAGAATTTAATTAAACTATATGAATTTGTAGTGTTTTTGATTATCCTGTTGTTGATATTTTGACTGCATGCTGGTCAGTCTTAGTTGGGATGTGTATCCTGTAAGAATCGCCTTGATATAGTGACTATTTCACAAGTTTATATCCGATAGGTGAAAAGTGGCTGGTAATAGATAACACGTTGGTGTTTAGAGCTAAAAGTATTAAATTTTAATCCTGGAGCGAATAACTTTGTAATGCATGTACGCCTAACTGACGAGTCTCAAATAGAGTGGAATGCGCATTCTGAATTCCACTGCTAGCCACATTTTATATGTTATATATATTTGTTGTTATCTTGTTCTACAATGGTAAACGATCTAGACTAAAATTAAAAACAAACACTATACGTTCCTCAATTAAAAAAAATAAACATTACTAGTAACTACTAAAACATCCGAAACCATCCATGAAGATTTTATGTTGATCAACCGTATCTTAATCCTATTTATTTTAGTTTATCTAATTAATAAATTAGCCATAGAAATATCAAATTTAACCATGATATACTTTCGACTGTAAGCTCTTCCTTGATTCAACTAAACGTTGATAATCTTTTTGCCAATCTTCTGCAGCTTGATTTGCTGTTCTTTCTCTTGAACGAAGTATTTCTTCTAGTTCAGACATTTGATGATTTAAATCAGTTAATTCAGATTGCAATGTCGATTTCGCTGATTCAATTTCCATTAATTTTTGTTTTAGTGAAACTTTCTCACTGTTATATGAAAGAAAATAAAAGTAGTTCCAAAAAGCTTATTGATATGATTCGTGAGTATATCTTTTATTTGCGTAAAATAGAATCAAATAATATAATCACTTATCATTGTGATTTTATTAATTATTTTTATCATCATGAAACAGAAATTGGCGTAAATAATACATTGAACACATTTGAAAATATCTTCCTTCAGTTATCCTTCACATACTTCATTCTTTCAATATTATTATTCCGATTGCTCTTCGTTTTCCTTAGTCTTCTCTTTATTTCACTCATCTGCTGGTAAACATTCTACTACGAATTCCTGCTACATACTACTTATGTCTGTCTACATAAGTAGTACACATCACAATACTATTTGTTTGCCTAAACCGAATTAGATCTAGTAGGATTTGAACTTTTGATTTACAAATGGAAACAAAATCTTTTAAACACTAAATTACAGAATGTGATAATGTTAGATTTATTCGTTCATTTACTAAAATTTTAATTTAGACCATTGAAATATGTTATTTTATACTAATTAATTTACAGAATGCTCAAAGTTGAGCAACGGTGACGATTTATAGAATAATCTGGATAAACGGACTGACATTTTATAACCTTGTGAGTTTATAATGTTTTAAGTCAAATTATTTAAACAAAAGTAAACTGTCACGAGAAGAAGCGAACAAAAATAATTGTTGGATGGGTTTAATAAATAACTCATATTACCAAGATGTATCTATAAAAATCATATTTTAGTGGTAAAATTTATATTGTTTACTTTGCCTTACATAATAGAGGTTTCTAGAAAATTTTCTTCACTTAATATAATTCAGGCAGCTAGATGAAGTATCTTTTGACAAACTGGGCTGAACACTATTTTTGCTTTCGATCTCTGAATTATACTAATTTGTGGTCACATGTAACTACGTGATGAGACGCAGTATACTGTTGTGTGCATAATATTAACTATTAATCGATAATTAAGTAAATATAAGTAGAAACAGAAAATAAAAATCAGCTTAACTACTACCACTCTCTCTCCCTCTTCGCAATTCAACCAGGTATGCATGTAGAAGAACCCTTAAAGTTTCATACATCTCTTAGTTAATGTTAAATTTAATAAGATAACAATTTAGAGATATAGGTCTTGTGTTTTGGTAGTATATCTATAGTACATGAAGATGCTTTTAAACTGTTTAGATAATATTTGTATGTGAAGAAAATGATTTTTCGACCAGAAGCTTAGTTTGATTTCCACTGATTTCATTTAGATTTAAAAACTTAATGTTTAGTTATTGCATTAGATAACATATATTAGTTAATAGCAGAGATAATCGATAATAGAGCTACGTTTATTAAAAAGTAGGCACTATGACTTCCGTTGTTTGTAGTTGGAGCAGTCTGATAACATTTTTCAAATTTGATGTGACTCAGTGTACAGTTTCCGATAGTACATTTACATTGATAACACTACTTATTTTTCTTCTCTGTTAATTGCTGAACTATGAAGTTCGGTCCTTCGAAATGCGATAAATAAACTCACCTTGGTGTACCCACAATGTGTTTTTAAGTATATTGTTTACTCATCTAGTGCTAAATAAAATTTTCAAATGAAAATATTTGAAGTATACTTCCTTAATTGGTTAAAACAAGAAGAAAAGCTTTGATTTTATGCAATTAAGTTTGTTAGTTAATCTTATTATGCATCATTTTGCTCTAAATTGAATATTGATGAATGAATCAGTCACATTTATGCTTAAAAACAAAACAACAAACCGTTTTAAACTTTCTTCTTGATTCACGCTTTCTCTTAATCGAGCTTTCAACTCTTCGATTTCTTCAGTTAATTTCACATTTTCGGATTCAACTCTTTGTAATTTACCGCGTAATTCCACAATTTCACGTTTACTTTCATTTGCTAAACTTGTAGCTTCTTTCAAACCAACTTGTAGGTCAGCTACACGTTTCTCTGAACTTGTTCGATCCATTTCAGTGCCTTGTAGTTTAGATTTTAGTGAATTAGTCATACGAACTAAATCGACACGTTCTAATTCAACACATTTCAATTGTTTTCTTAATTCTTCATTAGAACGATTTATAGCATTTTTCTCACGTTCCAATTCACCAAGTTTTTGACTTAGTTCACTGCATTCTCTTCTTGAAGAATCATTTATTTCTTCCACTGATAAAAACAAAAGAAAATATTAATTAGCATATTAATTAAGTAAACAGAAATGGAATTGGCATTTTGAATTACTACTGTAAAAATGTTTGCAAAGAGATAAGTCTCTTATGTTTTAAGTTAATGTCTATAAAGCAATCTTTATGATCGTTTAACTCATACTACTAAAATGTGATTCATTTCACTTTATTTGTAAAAGTATTGTAAATAAAAGTACAGATAATCGAAGTCAGGTAACATAAGAGAAATTTCCAAATTTCTTTTTTAATCTCTTAGTAACTCTTTACATTTGATATAGTCAAATAATAAGTTTTATGTTTAATTTTCGTAGCACTTTGATATCAGTCGTCTAACAAGAAAAACGTCAAACAATATTCTATAGATAATACTTTCTACATTAAAATACCTTGTATCTACTTAACTGACCTTTTGCTCCCAACCAGATTATTTCTGTTTACATGCTCTTTCTGATGATTACATTTCATCTCAACTTCAAAACTTTATCTTACTATGTGACGCAATCTTTTTTCACAATTATTAATCTTTACATATTCTCTTGACACTCACATTTTTATTCACTTGATAAAAAGTAACATGTTTGTTCTCTTGTTTATTTTACCCCTTATCTGCTACTATGTTTGGAAAATTATAATTATTATTAACAAGAATCATTATTAGTATAGAGGATCTATGGAGATTTTAGAATTTTTACAGATTAAATTACGAAATGACGTTGACTAGATCACCATCGAAAACATAGGAGGACTAACTGGCTGTTTCACCTTAGTATGGGACTCCTAAGCAGTGATCACTCATGATCTCACACTCGGAAATCGAACTTAGGACCTTCAGTGTCGTGCATGGACGCTTAATCTCTATATCACTGAGGTGGCATTCTAGCTTCAATCAAATCGTGGTATTGAGTAACCGTCATTCATTTCCTGCGGTAGAAAACTACCTTACACCCGATACGAATTTAACTCCACTGGCTACGGCTTCTCACTAACACTCGAGGAGTTATATCCTGAGGCTAGTGACTAGTGAAGACATAAATATTATTAATATTGCCGAATTTGTGGAGATTGCAGAATTATTGCATATCGTTTTGGAAATAAAGTATACATTTTCAACCTTAAAACTTTGGAAATGAATTCACCGAAAAAAGAACTCTTCACTGGACCAATCTTTCGCATTTTTATGTCACAATCAGTATATTTTAATATATTTAAAATAGTTAACTTATTGGAAAAAAGTGTCACCAAAATCATTTTAAAATTAAAAAAAAAGCAATTTCGAAACAAATAACTTAAAGTTATTATCATTTAATATCAAATAAATCATTGTATATTAAAATGGATTATTATATACTTACAAGCACGAATACGGTATGTACTATCTACTAATTCTGTACGATTAGTATCTTGAACCTCTTCAGCCAAACGAATTTTTATTTGAAGTTCACTAACTTCTTTTGTCCACTGATCTTTTTGACTTTCAAGACTGTGTATACGCATTCGTAATTCCCGGTTTTCTCTTTCATGTTCAGAACTATTCACAAATAAAACGATTAATCTTAAAATACAGCATATTATAAATATGCACAAATTATTAAATGGAACAGAACAGTTCATTTTTATAACTATATATTGATTGTAAATTGTTATTTAGTATATTTTGAATGAGCGACATGAATGCCACTTCTATGTAGTTCTTTGAATAGCATCTAAGATATTGTTTCATTTCAGTTTCTTTAAAAAAATAAATTTCATTAACGAATCATAGTCCAAGTACATAATGAAGAAGAAAAATAAGTGAATCTAGTTAGTTTGTTCAAAGAATTGTTGACAAATGAGAAGCGCTACATAGGTGCTTTGTTATGGTATGTGCACTCACAAACTGACAACCTGACTAAATTTTAAAATATGAAGCATTGGATTTCAACTTTGTGGTTTAAAAAAATATTTTACTCGCCTTAAAAACCTAAAGATCTTGATTTTGACCTTGTATAGGGTTATGATTATACATTGATAAATAGTTTTAAGCCGGGTGTTTTAGCAGTTTCCCGGTTGATTTTAGTTCGTGACGAAAGTTCCTAACAAACAATGAGTTTCTAAGTTTCAATCCTATTTGAAAAATACTAGGAATTATAAACTAAGACATAAATAAATTAAAAATGAGTAAAGATCGTTTTCAAACAACTAATTACCTTTAAACACCTTTTCTGAAGCTAGAACAATAAATTATGAATCAAACTCATTTCATATTGTGTACACAAAATCTTAAAATATTCATAAATTCCATAAACTAAATGTACTTACACAAATGTTGCTTTTTAATGAAGCTATTATCAAATAATCAAGTTCAGTAATGAAAAAAACAACAACAGTGCTTTCCATAACTATCCAAATCTGATCTTTTTGATCACAGAATAAAAAAGAGCGATCACAAATTAATTAACATTATGATCTAAACAAAAAAAATACTCAATGAATTGACTGGAATATCAACGATAACTTGTATTTTGGTTAGAAACTTCGTATCATTTGACGTGATGCTCACATTATTGTACATAAGTATTTAACGGGTACGAGTAGAAAATTATAAAAGTTTGTAAAGATAAGGTAACTTTATAAAAACGTTCTGTTCAGAAACAAAAGATTTAACATTGAACAATCATACATAGGAGTGTCAAGTAACTATGACTAGTCAAGCTTATTGTTTTTGGTGAAGATAAAGCCATGCTAACACATAAATTTTATAACCGGATTGACAAATTCAGAATATACCACTTTTTTACCTGCTCATATGTGTTTATAGACAGTTGTGTATAAGGAAGAGTAGACGATACTTTAATAGATCATTTATTTAAATAAAAATGAATATACGCTAAAGTGTTTACTGATAATATTGAAGTGACTGTAGAAAACTTTAAATTAAGTAGTACTTGTAGACAAACTTTACTTTGATGGCATTTATTTTGACAAAAGGAAAGAAAAATATGGGTCAAAAGTTCAGTGTATTTCATTTTGTGAAAGTTTCCAGACGTTTAGCAACTTTATTTCGACACAAAAGCTTAATCTCCAGTAAAATAATATATCTATCAACCTGCTTTACTTAAGCGAATTTTTTTCTTTATGTGTTAGCATTTGAGTAGAGATTTTTAGTTACTGATACGTATTACAAGTCTCAGTAAAATTTAAGGGAACAACTTGATGTTTAAGTAATACAAAAGTGAGATAAAATAATGTGAAATGAAAACTAACCATGCTTCTTGCAATTGATTTCTAAAGCTCCTAACCTCTTCAGTAGCTTTTCTCAATGCCGACCTCTCGCGATCTTCTCGAACACTTGCATCCTTTTGTGTTCTCTCTAGTGTGATCTGTAATTCAGTAATCTGTTAAGAATTAAAAAAGGTTATCTCAGTTAGGGTGAGATCAAAAACTAGGGAACCTTGGATAGATGTTTTATTTCAATATAGTATCCCATGTTAATCAGGTGTACTATTGGGAAGGTATTTACTGTTCGCTTCTGTGGTACAGCATAAATATATAAATCAGAATTTTAATTATTGGAAAAATTAGTTTTCAAATACATCAGTAATTTATGGAAAGCTTATTATCGAAAGAATACTGACAGCAGCTAAATCTTCATAATTTACACATCGTATAACGGTGTCAGATGGAAAGTAATATCATGTCTATACCGCATCCTGTTTCATATTATTTTGTTCAGATATTCAGTTAAAAATTATGTTTTTGTTCAAAGTAGGCTAAATAAATACAATGAAAAATTCCACGATCAATTATATGCACGTTCACAGAATAACGTACAGTTTCTTGTAAAGCATTAACTTTCTCTTGAAGGCCAACTTTTTCTTCCGTTGCTCTGGATAGTTCACGTTGACGTTCTCGTTCTGCAAGTAAACGAGCTTCATCTCTTTCCCTTATAATAAATGAGGAAATGTTTAAGATAGGTTAATTCAAAGTTATAAAAAAAATTGACTACAGACGACTTCATCAAAAAATGAAGTTATTAACTAAACATATGTTCTACTTCATCAGATTCAATTGTATTCTAAAGCATTGCAATATTTAAATAACATGATTATTCTTACATTACTGATTTTCAGATATTAGAATAAATAAAATTATGGTAGTGTACAGCGTACTAATTGAAATCTCGATATCTTAAACATTGTTGGTCAATTTATGTAGTGACAAGATCAATAATAAGAAGATAGGTCTGTTACACACCAATTGTTTCCTATTTGTTTGACCTATTGCTTTGAATTTTTGTGTACTTAACTTTTAATTATACTGTTTGTGAAAGATCTAATTATACTGTAAGGTTGTTAAAGCGTAGTTGGCCTAAGCAAGCTTTTTACCTAAGACCCACTGACTGAAGTCGTAGTTTTCAAGCTACCAAGTAACATACCCACAATTTTTATACATTTAAGTTTATTATGTACTATGTACAATGTGTTTAATCTTGGATGACTAGATGCAATCGGTAAAATGCTCTACATTTAGATAGTGCGTTTACTGGAACTTGGTACTAAATTTCTTAGCTGAAAGATTACCTTGTTTGAAGAATCATGTGCTATTTGAAGATCCTAAATACATAATACTAGTACAAACTGACATGAACGAACCTTAGTTACATAAGGCTTGCAGTTGGTTAGGATCATCCACAATTTTCCACATAAAATGATATAAGCGAGGATATATCAATGCATGTGGACAACTGTGGACACATAATCAACTGGAAAAATGTTGAGATCTTGAGCAGAAGCAATTATAAGAACATCAGAGAATTTTTAGAAGCCTGGCACTCAGGTCACTCAGCAATCAACAAACACATTGAAATTGATCCAATTTACCAACCAATCAGAAAAATTATGGACAAATGTAGGACGAAAAATCAAATCAATGGGAGATACAACCAAGATAAAGAAGTAAACAGTGACAGATTAAAGGTCAACAATAACCAATCGAGATCGAGGTCTACAGGACAAGCTGTGAGCTATATGTGGAGAAATTCGAACACTCAACTTCTACCTGATATTTGTATTGATGATTTCGCTCAGAATAACGATGAAAGCTCCATGAACAAACCATCCAGCTCAGAGAACGAAATTCCAAAAACTCAGCTGAAAAAGGTTTGTTGATTCTGTATTGTACATAACTACAGTAGATCATAGGAACATATCTAATTAAAGTCAATTCCAAAAAACAATACTTCGTTATATCTATAATGTATGATAAGCAAATCAACTGTTTATCAAAAAGAGAACAATGTTTCTCTCTTTTCTCGTAAAGTCATTTTATGAGGACCAATCTTATGTAGTCAGTCAGTCGCAACGTAGGACCTGGTACACATGTAAATCAGTTCAAGTTGTCACACCCCGTAAGGACAGAGAGGTGAAATCAGTAGGTCAAATTTTAGAATAATGGAGGTAGTAACAGTATCAGTGGTAGTAGAAAAATTCGGGAAAATCATACGATTCGAGAAAATATAAATTAGTGAAATAAAAACAAAAGGCGTTATGAGAAATTTAGAAGCTCAACATTTGGGGGAAGACAAAGAATGAATGCATCTGCCCCATTGCAAATGATTTTCAGTTGTGTCAGCTAGTCTCCAACCATTGGTTACGATAATCACACAGATCCTAATCAGGTAGTCTGCACTTACTTCACAGACCAATGCTATGAATCTCATATAATATGCTCATCATTACAATATAACAATGCTTACCTTTGAGCAGTTAATAATTCTTTAGTAAGTCTATTCATTTCTTCAGCAGAACTACGTAATTCATATTCTCTATTAACTAATTGTTCCACATCCACATGCTGTTGTTTATCAATAAGATTTACTGCTTGATCTGCTCTTTCCACAGCTTGTAAACATGCCTTTTCAGCTTCTTCAGCACGTTTTTCAGCATTTATTAATGCTATACGTAAATCTTCTAATTCATTTGTCAGTTGATCACCTACTTTTTTACTATTACGTTCAGATTTTTCTAGTTCAATTTGAAAATTACTATGAGCACGACATAGTTCAGCTAAAATAAAAACACAATTTATTTCGATAAATAATTAGCATACCAATCATTAAAAGAATTCAGGCAGTCAATGAAAGGTAGAAACATTAGTACAATCTATTCAGATAAATAAGATCAAACTAACAAAAACGAAGGTTTACTCAATCACTAAGTGTCAAGCAATAAGAAATTCAAATTGGGTTGAACTATGTGTTATACATATTCTTATAGTCAGTCAGTCAGTAACAACGTAGAACTTCGTACGTGCGTACATCAGTTTGAGCCGTCATACCACATTAGCACAGAGATGCAGTTGTCGATTCAAATCCCGTAGTGGTAAATGTAGTAAGAGTATAAGCAGTATTAACAATCTAAAATCATAATAGACATTCATTTAATCTACCTATTCGAAGAAATTACTTCATAAGATAGAAACTAATGATAACTTATTAACTAACCACCATTTCATTTATGTGAAGCTTTTTCTCTTTCAATTAGATAAAATTTAACAATTATTTAGGCTTATAGTGAGTATAGAATAAATCGATGAATGATCTACATATAATAGACATAGCCCTAAAAAAAGACGATAGCTGTTTTTTATGGATCCAGTAATATTTTATTCATTAAAATACGACTCCAGCACAATCTATCACAGCATGTGAATCAAGTCATCTAGACCGGACTAGGCTGTAATCTATGATCGAAACAAAGATTTTCATGTAAGGTCTTTGAAAAATAAACATTGATTAGTATCAAATAAAATTCCTTACAGTAGTATTCAATTACTTTAGCATAAATTTTACACAAAATTATAAAATAGAAAATATATAATTTTTAAAAGATATAAACATTCTAATACCTTGTAATTCATCTCGACGATTTTTTAAATCTGACACATCTCTTTCTAATTGAGATTGTTTATAATATAATTGTTCAATTGTTTGTTGCATATCAAATAAACTAGATTCTAAGTTTTCTTTCTCTGATTTCAATGTATTAATTATTTCTGTAAGATGTCGATTATCTCGTTCAATAATTGATAACTTGGAATTAATGAAGATTAGAAATGCAAAACAGTCAAGAAATATAATAACAATCAAATAAGTGTAACAAGTGAATAAGAAAAAAAGCAACTAGCTTTTTGAAAAGTTAGTAACAAATAGGTGAGAAATATTTTTATGTAATTGAGCATGAGGTTCTCCTATTTCAAAATCAATATAAATTTATTATAAGCAGAGATGAATGGTGGCTAGCAGTGGAATCTGGGACACCAGTTTTGTTCTACTTGTGACTTGTCAACTGGATATACCTGCATCTCAGATTTGATGTTCAATCCGGAACTGCCATCGTGTTATCTACTTAGCTTCTGAGTTCAAATAGCCACTAATTTGTGCAATGCCGTGAAGTTTTAATTCATGTTTGTATTGTTTATTTAGATTATCCCATTTATGTTTAGGTTTGCAATTGATTATGATATGAAACTGATCAATTACAGTCTTAAACATTAATGGGAAGACGAAAATGAATCAATGTGAGTTTAGTTACATTAGGTCTTTATAGGTTTTTATTTGTTCATTTCTTTACAACTAAGCTAATGTCAATACTATTAATACTAGTTATTTAAATATATGATCAGAAAAATATCTTTAGGCTTTAACTTAGAATTGTAAGTGATAAGGACAGATTAACTTGATTTATAGAAATATTTTGGATTTATATGATAGATGTTTGAATTGTCCATTAATTTTGACAATATTTCCTTCATTATTTACCTATGTAATGTCTGGATATGAAAATTTATATTGAGATCATGAACCGATTAATGTTAGACCACCATTGAAAAACTGGGATCATTGGAGGGCCGTTTCGTCCTATTGTGGGACACCACAGCAGTGCGCATCCACGATCCACTCCATACTGATGAAAATTAATAATTTTATATTTTGATCAAAGAAACTTTAATGAAACTTATAAAGTTAAAACTGAGCAGAAAAACTCATTGAAATGTGAAATATTCCGAATGTACAATATTTAACCATGATAGTAAACACTTTCTTACACTACAACATATAAAATATCATATGAATACATAATATAAGTGTGTTGATATGTAAAAGATTCGGAATAAACATTTTTTAAAATATATTGGTTAACATTTGTATGTATTAGTGTAGTGAACGAAAACACAAGTGGGGAGAACCAAATCTTGGTAAAATCTGAAAACTATACAGTGAATACTTCATTTGGAAAATATCAGTTAATCGTCTAAGACTTTATTGTTTCTTCATTTTCACACCAATCATTCTCTGTTCTCATTTTCTTTTCTTCGATATTCTTAACCTTCTGCCTCCAGGTATTTGACTTTCGATTGATGCTACATACTACTAATATCTGTCGATATCAGTAGCACACACCACATTATTACTGTACTAAAATAAAAATTATTTTCGCTTATTTGTACTGCATTACAATAATACTCCCAAGTAACAATCTTTTATACATCATGTGAATCGCTGTTATTTTTGTCTATTATGTTGTTATTTGCTGGGGCAGAATATCAAAATAATTTTATGTTCGTCATTAAGTGAACTTTTTCACTTGGAAAATGGTCAGATGTATGAAGGAACATTATTTATTAAAACGGTATGATATAATAACCATTTGGTCAAACATTTTACAGTTTAACTTTCAATTAGGTCCGTTCCGCTGATAGTAATTTTCAGTCATTAAAATGTAGATAAAAAATGATATCAGTATACTCACATTTGATTTTTTGTACTGTAAGAACCATCCATCTCAGAGAACAAAACTCCATCAAAATCATCCACCTGAGCTACAAAATCATCTCCACCATCTCACAACTCATTCAAGTTAGTTTACTCAATTTCTAGATATGTATGCACTAACATATCTCTGCTTAATGGAAGCTAATCGATATTTGATAAATAATGCATGGTAATTTATGATAAGTTTGATAATTGGGATCTTTGTTATGTACCTTATGTTTAAATTTTGGTGTTTCAGTATATTAATATGGTTTAAACAATTTAGTTCTTTATAATAGTTTGACGAAAGCACACTGTTCATCAGATGGAGCGAATATGACAGCAGCCGTATCGTGATAAAATTCTCTCATGTTTAACGCACTAGTACTGATTATTGATGCATAAATATTTTTCGAACACTTATGACACCGCCATTTTTGAGATTTTTATCTGTTATCAAAAGATTCAGTCAAATTCCCCAAATGGTTTCTTTGATTTGCGCCAATATTATCTCGATTCGTTAATCTTGATATTTACTTTAAATATAATTGGGAGCAACATAGGGTGATGAACAGAGTAATAAACGTGATGTCAGGTAATTCAAACAGTTATTTCATTACGAAAATAACAACACACCTTTTCAAGGACTTTCAAAAGAGTTCTTCGATTGTACGAAATAAAAATTTTATTCTCAGTTAATCAAATCTGTTCTATTAGTGGTTAGAAAAAACCATGTTTGCATCTATGTCAAATTTTAATTTTTAAATAGCATCAAAATGTTGTCTATTAAAGTATATGATGTTCGATAGTCACTTATCTTACCTGAAGAAGTAATTCTGCTTTATGTCTTGATATAGCTTCTTTTTCGTTTGTTAGTCTCATGATTAAGGCTTCCTGACGTTCAGAATCTCTGCGGAAAGTTGATACATCTTCCATTAAAGATGCTTTTTGTCTCTGAGCCTCAGATAATGATTCTGTAAGTGTCATCCTTTCTCGAGCCAAGTCTCCCAATTCAGCTTCTAGTCGTGATCTAGCTGTCTCGGCGCGCATTGTAGATTCTCGTGCTTGTTCTAATTCAGATTGTGTTAAGGATTTTTCAGAATATAATTTTTCTATTTCATCTCTTTGTTCTTGTAATTCTACCCGAAGATTGGCTCTTTCTTCGGCTAAACGAGATTCTTTAGCATGTGTTAAAGAGATTTGATGGGTTAATTGCTCAGCATCATGCTCTTGTGACTCAAGGACTGTTTCTAGTCTAGCGATTCTTGATTTATACTGGTTTTCTCTATTATGCGCCTTAAATAAATAAATAAATTATATATATATATATATATATATATATATATATATATATATATATATAGAAACGAAGTATGTATTATAAATTAATGTATAATATAAGCTTGGAACTTAGATGTAATTAAGAATCAAGTATTGTTCATGCAAACGTTGTAAAGTTATAATATCAATGAAACCGATCCCATCTTCGTCAAAGATTAAAGACTAGTGTATTCTTAGAAGGAAATTTAGATTCACTGGTTTCGAATATGTTTGATGAAAGAAACATAATATAACAAATACAAATATGATCTTATATGAGATTTTTAATCACATCCAGTTGTTTATGTTAAATGAGTCAATATGTTGCAGCAAACACTATCAAAATCTAATGATCAAAAGTCAAATCAATTTGAGTGCTATCAGAATGTGTTCTTTATCACTTTGAAATTACTCAACTGCGAAAGTATTAACAAACCATTTTTTCAAATGATCATAACTAATGGTTTATCATTTGTTCTAGTCATTATGAAATTCGTTTACATTAATGATCCATTTTTTCACACAGTGACTAAAATGAATAATCTGATAATATATTCTTTTCTTTTAAATAGTTGAGATCATGAGCTGCTGAAAAGTCCTCTTCTGATTTTAATATAATCTTTGTTGACAAAAATGCTTTGAATTTTATTCGTTCACACTATTTTCGTAATTTAATTATTTACTGTTTTACATAAAAACTGAAGGATTATTACTTATATGATCGATCGAATGCTGAAGATTTTCAAATCATTAGAAAAAAGACTATGAGCATTACATTCTGATTCACAGGAATTTTTTCAACGAATATCAACTCGTGAAATGAAAAAAACCTTCACAGTATAATATGGTGGTTGGAGGTAGTCAACAAGAAACCCTGGACCCGGGCATCGTCTTATTTGGCACTCGTCAGCAAGGTGTACCTGTAATCTTCAGGGAACTGGTGCTCCCTGACGGATTCAATGCCGTGTCACCCAGCTTCACAGTCAGAGACATTACCACTAGGCTATTCGGGCCTCGACTGACCTCCTGTAGGACTGAGATGCATTTACGATTGATTGATCAATGGGTGGTGATCGAATGCTATCGACCAAGTTGCACTAAGAAAGACCTAACACACATGACAATGATCACCACCCAATGATCAATCAATTTTGAAATTTCACAGTGATTAGACAGGGAAAGTACTGATTATAGTTATTTTACAAATTAAAGACCAGATATACTAGAACATCTAAAATATTAAATCAATGAGAACGATTTTGTCTAGTTATTAAAATGGTTATTTCTATTATTAATACTGATGAAAAGATCAATTGTTAGAAGACAGAATAGTACAACGGACAAATAACTCGAAATTTATTGTTATTTAGTAGTCAGTGAACGAACATATATTCATCTGGAGCTCATAAGAAGATAAATTGAGTATATTTGAGTAATCTTCTGTACTTGAAAAATTTGAGGATCTGTATACAGATGATGTGTAAATGATAACTTGAGTTAAATAGAAAAATAGGTTTAGGTAGGCGTCAACGTATTAATAATCATTTTACTTATCTAGTACTTTGCATATTCAAAATACTCGCTTATTTATATTTTCTCAACCAACAAAGACTCTGGGATTAGATACTATTTATAAATCTATAAAATAGATTCAATGTGAGACTCAGTAGATTTATCTATATAAAAACCTACGTGGAATTCCGCATATTATTTAACATCAGTGTCGTATTTTACAAACATAGGATAATACCCAAGTAACAGTGAAGTTTATTGTTAATGCTGCTACCATCCCTTATGTTCGAGTAAAAGATCATAAGACCAAAACTGACAGATCATTATTATTATATTATTGATTGACTCTCACAAATTTATATATTACTAAATATTTAGTCTGAGTGCCAAGTGAAATCTGTTTGCCAAAACTTTACATTTAGCAGATAGATGTGTGTTATTGATTGTTTATCAAGTTTTTGTAATTAATTTGATGAAATAAATCATCAATTGAACTCATGATTAAAACGTTATATTACATCATCCATGTTCAGTTTACTTTAAATGACAAATGTTGAAATATTTCATATGAGTTTCCTTTTCATTACTTTTTACCATTTGATAGAAATTTCTGTCTATACTATACTATCCTTTAAGAGATCCACATTCTAACACATATTGTTACTTAATCTCTCGAAACAATATTGATCCGAGTGGCATGCATTCATCTGACACTTTGTAAAGTTGTGTTTAATTAATTTAAGAAAAAGAATGTAGAAATCAAAGCTCGGTTTAAAACTATACATTGTTTTACTGAGTTGACTTTTAGATACATCGATTATATCTAGACTTAATAAGAGAGTTAGTAAATAACTTATTAGTTTTCAAGTTTTTCAACAATATACGTATGTTTGAATATGCTTTACATTTTCATTGATAGTATAGCATGATAGCAACTTCAACAAGTAGTCTACAAACACAAACTTCGAATGTATGATCAAGTTAAATAACTTTTCATAAAGAAAATAATTAAGTTTATTTGGTTACTTGGTTGAGGTCTTCATTTAATTCGTCAATTTTAGCTTGAATTTTACCAGCCGCTGTAATTGCGTCATTTTTCTCCTGGTCTAATATTTCTTTTTCTAATTCAACACGTCTTAACTGTTCACGAATTGTAGCCAATTCTTCTCGAAAGTTTACAGCACGTTGTTCTGTACTACCTAATGTTTTTTGTATAGCATCTAATTCACGAAGCTTGATTAAGATTAAAAATTAAATACGAAACATTGATTAAAACAACCGTGATATTCTGTAGGAGTATTGATAAATAAAATTTATTAAGAACGCAATCTATCAAACCAATATTAAAAAGTAGTAGAATTACTAAAAAAAAGTTTTTCCTATTGCAAATAAAGGGAAGTGGCTGGAGTTTTTCATATATTATCAAACTCTATCGCACTCAGGTGTAAGGTTATCCATCCTTTTCTTAACATTCAACATAAGTGCAATATCTAGTATTACCAAGTATTTTTCCCTTTTATTTAGTGGGTAAGTGCTGCATATTGAAATGTGATTTTCACTGAGGGTTCCATTTTAAACATCCAAATCTGTCTACATCTATCCTCTATGAACACGCCGAATAAAATAAACAAATACGGGGAAAGTTAGAGCTTGAAAAGAAGTCCTTTATGAAAGGAGTGCCCTTATATGCAGCGATTACTCACTAAATGAATGGGAAAATGACCAAGAATTCTTGATACTTCAGATGCAATGAACATTAAAAAACAGATGCGTTATAAATTCATGTTCATGTATCCTATTTCCTGCTCAGTAGAAAATGGAGCCCTAACTATTTATCTAACATGGTTCATTTGTAAAAATATTCACAAATTTAAATCTGTTCACATCTTGCATGATTAACAAGCATACAAATATTTTAACTATGCTCTTCTATATTACAGATATTAAATTTCCCTAAATCGCATATACGGAAATATATACAAGTAAGTCTCTACAGAACCGTCTTGACCTAAATGACATGATATTATTATGATCAGATCTTTTGATAGTACCAGAAATATTCTACATTATTTCCTTCTTACTATTTAAGTTTGTATTAATTTAATTTGGTGATTTATTTTCTGAAGAAGCAACTTATACTAAGTTGCGAAACATCAGAAATTCAGTTTTCTACTAATTGAGACTTTACAAAAATATCATTAATTCTGTTATTTGTCATAAGTTTTATGTTTTATTTGAAATTAATCCTTAAATCGTTTCGATAATGGTTATGTATCATCTATTCATGAAGAATAAACACATCACTTATAAGTCAAAAGGTTTTATTTTTTAATATTTCCAATTTTTCATTCAAAAAAATCACTGATAATTGCATAACAATAAACTTTTAGTAAGTGAATATTTTGTTAAAAGTAAGCGATTGAGTGTTTGCTAAGTTGATTGAATTGAGTTCAGTGATTCTGTCAACATGGTTTAAATACTGCACATTTATCTGGTATTCGAATTACTTACATAATACAACATTTGGAAGGATATTCAAACAAATTTATTGTTGTTGAATTACCTTAGTAATTGTACAGATGGTTAATTTTACTTTAAAACATGTTTGTTTGGAGTTGTTGTCATTAAACTTGATGAACTGCCCCTACTTCATTTAAAGTTGCAGAGATAGGACAGGATAGACGATTTCAGACTGAACATTGAAAGGGAACTCGTCTAATTAAATAGTTGGTGACTACACATTGTCGATAAACTAATAGTTAAAGTAAACTATAATTGTTTGGTTAAAAATATCACTCATAAATATTGTGTGGGAAATTGAAATCGACGACTTGAATGCCTCCTCATAGATTGTGTTGAATAAACAAAATCCATCGTATATTACATGCTTGAAGTTGGTCGATGCAAATTGGAAAGTTTGAAAAACTCATCACTCAAAAAAATTATATATATGATGAGATTTGTCAATGATTGATGTTGATGGCAACACTTATATCGAAGGTCATCATTATTATTGAACATTAATGTAGATGTTTGACAGCTCAGTGGATAACGCGTTGGGAGCTTGAAGCGAAAGTGACTGGGTTCAAATCTCAGCGTGAACATCAACATACCAAGATATCCATCCAACGAGTCTCAAACAGAACAAAATGCTCGTTCTGTATTGCACTGCTAGCCATTACCAATATATTCTAAATTATCTAAACTAAATTGTCATTACAGTTTTGGGAAGGAAAATACACCTAATCAAGTAACTATACATTGATTCAAACTGATAACCAAAATCCATCTGTTCTAAATAACTCGTGACATAGTGGCGCTGTCGAGGCAATCGACATAAGATGTACGTGTATCAACAAAGACTGATCGAAATTCAGTTTCCGGACAACCGAAACCCTTCCTAATAATGATGTACTTTTGATGCATTTTATTACTCCTTCACTTAAGAAAATCTGACATTTTAAGCATTTTTTAAAAAGTAATACAGTGAATATCTAGTCTCTTGTATCAGTCCATTGCATAGATTGCTTTCAATTTATTTAGTAGAAGAATATACAAACAGCTTCTTATTCCAGTGTTTATATGTGAATATTACAGTGTACTTGATAAAGATATTTGAAATATTTCCTTAATTCTTTTCCGAAACTATAATTTCAAATGAGTGCAAGAAAACTGTTTGAAAAAGGAATTAACAAACTTACTGTACGACCTTGTTCAGTTTGTAAATTATCACGTTCTGAGATTGCTTCATCGCGTTGTTTTCGCATATCATGCAAAGATGTTTTAAGGCGATCTAATTCACTTTCAATTTCCCGTACATGTTCATTTAGATTTTGTCTTGCTGATTCACTCATTTCATGCTCCTCTTTGGTTAAACTAAAGGAAAGAAATCCTAAATGTCATGTTCAAAATCCAATTTACTGAAAACACATTTTCAAAATTGAAATAGTTTGCAACATTGATAATAGTTTGATTAGTTTCTATATAAATATACATTGACCTATTCTAATATTTAAAAAGATATGCGTTCTAGAGGGGTATATTTTATTGAGATCATGAACCGATTGATGTTAGACCACCATAGAAAACCTGGAATCCGTCCATGATCCCAATCTAAAACTTAAGAATCTCCACAACCCCATACTGATAATTGCCACGTGTTCACTAGTGTCTAGCTTCCTTAGGAAATTCTCAAATTTCTAGTGAGACACCGTGACCAGTGGAGCTAATCCATGTCAGGTAGAGACAGGTATCTACCTCTGTAAAATAGAAAATGGTCGTGCAATATCGTGGGTTGGTTGAGGTTAGACATTAATACCGTTGGACGCCGGCTCAGTGGTCTAGAGCTTAAGCGTTCGAGCGTTAAGCCGAATTCCCTGGTTTCGATTCCCGCGAGTGGAATCGTGGATGCGCACTGCTGAGGAGTTCTACAATAGGACGAGACGGCCGTACAGTGCTTCCTGGTTTTCAATAGTGGTCTAACATTAATCGGTTCATGATCTCAATCAAAAACTTAATAATCTCCACAATCCTATACTGATAGTATATTTCATCAGAAAAAATTTTATAATCCTATATAAGTTATTGAATTCCAGAATCAGAGATATAGAAAATTATTATATGAAGTTTAAAAAAATCAAGTAACACCGAATGTCATTATACAATAGGTTATTTTAAAAGTAGATAAGTAGTAGTGTACACAGTTTATTTCACATAGAATTATAGACACAGAGGATGAGTATTTTGTAGAACCATGTTGATAATTAAGGACAATGAAATAAACAGCGTTTAAATGTGATGCAGGTTTTTTATGTTGGTGTTTAACAACTCTTTTATTGAATTCATATTTCGGGGACTTGTTTCATCTAAACCACACAATAAATGATTTATTGTTATGAAAAGGGCAACTTTCATTTAAGATGTTGAATGTTAAATGAATTAACAGAAATTTACATTAATTACATTGAATTATTATTGAATTTCTAGTATCTATTTGACAAATCTGTTACATAGACAGATATTTCGTTACTAATCTTATCAAAATACTCTATAAATCATGCTATAACACAAGTAACTGTGATTTACAACAGCAAAAGTAACTATATGTTCAATAATGACTGAATAAAGTAAGGAATTTCCCGAAGTTCTAGTATAAAATTGTAAAATCAGTCATATGACGACTGGAGCGACGATTCACCCTTGTGATTGGATGATCGGCATGCTATATCGAAAATGGAGCAAATTTGTAACATGGGTAATTGAATGATATCTAGAAAGTTCAACGGTATCTTAGTCACTTTGACGTAAGAACGTCCCGAGTTAGATACCATGTGTGGTTGTGTGTCTGCAGAATGCTGAAAACTTCAAAGTAGAATAATGCCACTGATTAGTTGTACTTGGTTTCCAATAGCTCTTGAGGTGACAATATCTCATGATGAAAATTACTTTCAAATTCATTATGAGTATTGTTTAAGGTATACATTATTACTAGTATTTGTAGTATAGATAGGGAAGGAAAGAAAACTTGGTTAATTATCATGTTACCTTAAACTTTGTTTAATTCTATCTCTTTCTCTAGATAATTTATCCACTTCCAAACTTTGTACTTCTAATTCTTCTCTTAACCGTGCCAACTGTTCAGACAGACGTTTTCTTTCCACATCTGACTCTTCGCCGCGACGTGTAAGATTATTTAATTGCTCTTTCAGTCCAGAACTTCGAAGTCTAAGACGATGAACCTATAAAAGTGGGTTCAAGAAGTAAAAGATGAAATAAATGTCATCAGAAAATTGTTGCATATCATCCAAATAAGTTATCCATTCAACCCCTACTTAATTGTTCTAGAACTCAGTGTATATGAGCATGTCCTTTAGGTAGATTTACTATGAATACAATGTGCAAATTCGTTGCTTTAGCTGTACAGAATATGGAACAAAGTATGTGGTGAACTGTGCACTCGCTAACTAAAGAGCATGGATAAAATTCTCAGAGTTATTCCAATTTTCATGTATCAGTTTCCGAATAAGAAGGTAACTATTCATTTACACAGTACTATTTACAGTCACAATAATGGTGAGGCGAGTGATGGTAGTTAAATTAATTATGAAATTACGTTCATAATCCTAAGACATTTACTACTAAATTCATATTTCAAAAACTTTTTGAAATCGTAAGCGAGTCTTATTTACCACAGTGTATGTATATAAATCTTTAGGTAATGCAAGATCTGTCAAGTTTTTCTGTGTTACTAAGTACAATTAACACTTCCGTAACTCTTTACTCTTCTGCATTTAGTCGTTTTTGTTATTTCACTGTTAGTGATTTTTCAGTATTGGTTTCAGAGATGTATTTCTAGATTAACTATAAACAAAATCAGATTCTGACAAGTAGCTAAATAAAAAGATGATAACTAGAAGGCCTGAATACAACATATTTGACTTCATCAAACATATAGAGTATACTCTACCTAGAATTTTAAAATACATTCAGTGCCCAAAAGGATTCAGCTGTGTTTTAAACTCATGGGAGTGTTTTTAAATTATCTTGTAGTTTCGTTTGATTTGTTAGAGAATATTGCTCCAACCTACATAGTGTTTCATCACTTATTTACGTCAACTTTCCTCAACTGGATTTTAATTACAGCGTCAGAACTTTAACATTACTGACTACTAGAAGCTATTGAAATGTTTGATGGCTATTTAAGAAACCATATAAAAATGCGGTTTGCTTAGAGTTTTGAAAGTAGCTAAATTCGATTTCAATGATTGCTGTGGTAAGCGATTTTAAGAACAGATGTTATGCGAATGTATTGATTAGTGAGAGTTTTGCAAATCCGAAATTATAATAAACCGGTTGTTACTATTCTCATATGGTTTGAATTATTATCTAAAACTTTCCACTTACTTATATTATGTAAAGTAGTAAAAGTCGTATTATAGAAATGTTGAAAATTTCTAACATGGTTTACATGCTTGGAATTTTGGTTTACAGACTTGAAATAAACATTTAAATGCAGGCTTTCAGATTATTAAACAGGCACATAGCATATGTAGTTAGATTTAAAATTTATGGTGTCTCAATATGTTTTCAGCCTTAAACTCTGATCCATGAAATAAATGGATTATGAAACAGAGGAGACAAACTCAGAACATCACGATGAGAATAATTTCTTAAAGAAACAGATTTATCCTGAGTTCATGCTTAAACGATTAATTTTAAATCTTATAGTAGGTAATGGATTAATAACTAATCAAGATAGAAAAATAAAATGTAGGACACTTATTTGTTATGACTTGTGAACCTGCGTGCCCTGTATATTGAATAACGTAACGACACCGCCTATTAGAGAGCAGCGAATTATCGATCGGACCAAAGACGCGTAAAACACGTGAGAACAACCGAGAGTCCTGATTGGTCCCGCTTTCCTGTCTAGCCCAGCCAGTTTAGCCCAGAACGCAAGTCTCAGCCTCTGAGATATGAATCATTTATTTCAAACATATGGGGTTTATATACCAATCAAACAGACCACACTGTACCATAAAATAGAAAATAATATTTGTACAATATTTGGCCAACAGGAAAATGACACGTGAAATAAATATTGCCCAATAGGAAAATCATATCATATCAGGTCCAAGGATAGCATTAGACTTAACAGAATAATTTTGGGGGTATTTTCCTGAATATCCCAACACTTCTTGATAATAGGAAGATTAGATGTTAATTAGCATTATAAATAAAAAAAGAATTTATCACACTATCAGTGCCTTAATATTTCGACTATTCGTATCTTCTAATTTAGGTCAGTCTGTGTCGACAGAATTAATTAGGATGCTTCGAGTTGCACTAAAAACTGGCATTCAGATTTAAATCGTTCTTTTTTTATAAGCTGAATGGTAAGACACATTAATGAGAAAGGAGAATAAAGAAGCAAACTGAATCACAGTGTACAAATTCAAGTTTTAACTTGTACTAGCAAAAGGGATAGGGAGAAAAAATCAAATAATTGAATTTGTTGTTGAGATGAAGATAAACTATGGCATGAAGGGACGCAGAATGAATAATTACTGAGTAGTCAAAATGCTCACAATTTAAAAATGTAAACATATGAACATTTCAGTGACAGCAAATTGCCCTCCTATAACAATCGATTCCAAGTATCATTAGTATGCCATTTTGGTAACCTACATTGATTCACAAAGCCCAAGTTAACAGTCAGAAACTGATTATGTAGATTTGATTGTCTTTTTGGTCATCTCTAACTTTCGATTCATCTATTATTACTTTTGACAGAGTAAAAAATAAAGGCAAATGTTAAATTCGCATCCTTGAAACATACACAAGTTACCATTCACATCAATTTTGAGTACGATATAGTTACTAGATCAATCAACGAAAAGCCAAACGCTGCACCAGCCTGGACGTAATATTTAGCTAAACTGCTTAGTTTATGTAGAACACAATATTTATTAGCACAATCAAGAATCACCAGGTACTATTTTCTCTCATTAAAATCAACTATGTTTATACACTTATGTGTATTTGAAACCGTATATACATCAATAGAATAGAACCTTCAATCTGCCTTATATCTCCTGAATACATTTTACAACGCCCATATTTCAAGGGAGTAAAAACTCCTAGTCGTGTAAATTCACAACATGCTAAAAACTTCAAAACATCAAGCAGATATCTTGATATCCTTTCAAATCGACTAAGCAAGTGAGCACAACTTATATAAAGTTACCTATGGCTATCGCTGGCGAATACATAAAACGTCATTAATCACTCGAAAGAAAACATTTATAAGTAGTCCCAAAACTTATTGTAAGACAAAGTATTACCCTGTCTTTATTATTTGTTAGCTTTATAAGTTTCAAGTGTAAGTATAATGTCTATCTTGTACAATATATATATATATATATATATATATATATATATATATATATATATATATATATTTCAATCGTTTCTGTAATCGAGTTAGATTTGATAAATAATGAAAAATTATAAATTTTAACCAGACCGATTTATTGAAGTTTACTGACAAATGTTTATATATAGCAGTTGAGCTATATTGTGTATTAAGTTTAGTTAAATTAACTGATAAATTTTAACCTTGTATATGAACATTACTGTATCCATTTCGGACTCTAAAAGCCTAGAATACTATGCAGTAATTAGTTGAATTTACATCTTAGAGCATTATATTGATACCATGTTCCCTCCTCCATGGTTTCCAAAACATGTTAACTGATAATAAAATCTATTTTATTATCCATACTCCACTTCATTGAACAAATAAATAATTATTCATGTCAAGAATTTGTGGAGATTGTTTAGTTTAAATGTGTTGATGTATTCTGTAGTCACTAATTTTGAGAGGTAATTCAAGGAGTTCTAATGAGAAGCTGTAATTAGTGGAGTTGAATGAAGTTAGGGGCGGCCAAACCAAAACATGGCATCAGTCCTTGAAGTCAGTGACTTCTAGTCTGAGCCATGTTGGTAGATGCAGATTACTTGGTTGGGGTCCGTGTGACTATCGTGACCAATGGTTGGGGACTGTGGTTAACATGTCTCAGAATCGATCACAATGGTGTAGGTACATACACTCTTTATCTTCCCTTAAACTATGAGATTAAAATTGCCTTAGATCTTTCTTTCTACGAACCAATTTCTTCCTATACTATATCCTTATTGCAATCTTTCTTTTATATATTACCACCACTGAATTAACTACTTCTATGAATCCGGTGTTCATCTTGTTGTGCTAATGAGGTATGGCAACTTGGACCGATGCATAAATGTGCCTGGTCCTACGTTGTAGCTAACTGACTAGAGTTGAATAATATCCAACGTCAAACTAATTTCACCAACAGCAATAAACGATGGTTGTAATATATCACGACTTGATCAAAGTTAAAACAGTCAGTCAATGGTAAGTGACTCAGTTATCAAAAGTATAATCACTCGTCACGAGATCTGAAGATTCTAAGTTCAAATCTCAACAGATTCAATGAAAAGCACTGCTGATGAATCTGATAATGGAACAAAATAACTGTTTAAATAGAGCAAGAACAAACATTGATGTAGAATAGTATGAATTCATATTATTTCGAAGTTTGTCGTCAGCTGCTTGCAAACCAAAATTGTGATAGAATTTTTTTACATGGAGATAATGTGAAAACAATTGACATAAATGAGTGTAAATTGCTGGATTACAATAATAACTATGTGTATATATATATATATATGCTAGAAACAGGTCAGAGGTCAAAAAAGGGGGGTTAACCAGGTTGGGCGGTGTAATAATTTAGTGAAGTTCATAAATTGTATGATAATTGTAGAGATTAGTGGAATTAAATAATGATAAGGTAGATTACGTAATAATAATTAAATAGAATTTTAAAAAATAATTTAAGAGGATCAGGTGATGAAAATGTGTGAATAAAATTTTGCTTAATAATTAGGTAATAGGGGGGGGAGTATAAAATATCTTAAAATAAGTAAATGAATAAAATAATCAAATAAACAAAACACACAAAAAAACAGAAACAAAAAGGTTACCAGGGTAGTGATAAGTTTATTAAACTGTTTATTGCTTACTTTTTTTTCAACAGTTGCTAAACTAAATTTATTTCATAAGTTAACTTAATGAAATAAGTAACTAACTAACTAACTCGAACCAATGAAAATAAAATGAAATTAAAAAAATTTCCATCAATTAGATTATGAATTATGTAAATTCTATTGTGTTATTTACATGTGAACTAACCGCCAAAAATTTAATCTAAATAAGAGCTTAATTCATTTATTTGTTTATTTATTTATGCATTTAAATTTCATATCAGTAACTATATACATATAGATGACTCTTAGATCACTTTTGGTTTTTAATTTGGTCATATATTAAACACTCAAATTTACTGATTTGTAAAAATACTTCCTTTCTCAGTGTTTATTTGTTTGTTTGTTTATTTGTTCTTCTTTGTATTTACTCATTTTAAATGGTTACGTTTTTTCAAAAAATGAATATACTTTAAACTGTATAATTAGTGTTGTTTACTTCTGCTAAATATTTATAATTTTTTGTAAAAATTAATTGTTTTGTTTAAAATAAACAACAAACAAATGGTTATCAGATTTCAATGTAGCGGTAAAAATGAATGAAACTATCAACATAACAATAAATCATTAAATTTACAATATTCTATTTAAATACAACTTATGTATGTATCAATAGACTTCTGTATTTGTTTTTCTTAAATAATCTTTTAAATTTAGGAAATTAGAATAATAAAACATGATCTGAATTGTAAATTTTTCAGAGTATAACCATAGTAACATTAATAAGTGACTCATAACTAGTGTTCAGTATGGAATTTTTAATTGATGATATAAAAATGACTACATTAAGATTAGAAGATAAAATTGTATTAGGAAAGTTATTGAGACCTATTTTGATAAACGAATAGTATGAATTACATTGTGAAATTCTGATTATTGGTTATAATGGACAAGTTGAAAAAGTCGTTAGTATGGGATTTTGTAGATCCTAGAAGTCATATACCAATCAATTGAATGGAATTCATCACTCTATTTCAACTTCATTGACTACGAAAAAGCATTTGATAGCGTGGACAGAACAACACTGTGGAAGCTTCTTCGATACTACGGCGTGCCTCAGAAGATAGTCAATATCATACAGAATTCCTATGATGGATTAAACTGCAAAATTGTGCATGGAGGACAATTGACAGACTCGTTCGAGGTAAAGACCGGTGTCAGGCAAGGTTGCTTACTCTCAGCCTTTCTCTTTCTCCTAGTGATCGACTGGATTATGAAGACGCCAATATCTGGGGAGAAGCACGGGATACAGTGGACATCTAGGATGCAGTTGAACGATCTAGACTTCGCAGGTGATCTGGCCCTCCTATCTCAAATGCAACAGCAAACGCAGGAGAAGACGACCAGTGTAGCAGCAGAATCAGCAGCACTAGGTCTCAATATACATAAAGGGAAGAGCAAGATTCTCCGATACAACACAGCATGCACCAATCCAATCACACATTACGCCGGGAAATGGAGACAGACATGAGAAAAATGAACAAGAATTGCATGGAACTAGAAAAGAAGACCCAGGACAGAGTGGGTCGGAGAATGCTGGTCGGTGGCCTATGCTCCATTAGGAGTAACAAGCGTAAGTAAGTAAGAAGCCATATACAAATAGATAATATGAGGATACGAAGCTAATGAATCCAAATGTCGCTTTTTAGTGTTCACAAGTGGGCCAAGTTGTTGACAGTTAAAGTGATTTCACTATTAAAGTTGATTGATCTCATTAAGATGTTTATCATAACGGATTATAGTCTTTTGAATTCAACGAGGAATGTTGCGCTACTTTCGTAACTTTGGCAGTATCCAACACTTGCAATCAAATCCTTATAATGTTTGCACTATTGAAGTGAATTAGAATCTAGTAACATGCAATCAATTCTAATTACATCCAGCCACCACGACGATTGTTACGGATTATCTACAAAGTTCAAAGTATTCGTTTGAAGATCGTTTGAATCCAAGTTTACACCCAGCTGAATCTACAATAAACCATTAATTCATATCTAATCCATACGAGTTATATTGAATTTTATATTCTACCATAGTCTTAGAACCCCTTTCAATTTTACAGATCATTAGTATTAATTATAATCTTATTTCTCGCTTTCTTTATATCCGTGCAGTAGACAACTATCTTCTACATTTTTTCTACTCATTAGTAATTCTTATTACCTCTAAGACAAATATATAACGTATATTCAATGTTGGATAATTTTTTATTATCTTGTTGGATGATCCAGTACCTGTGCATTCTATTTAAGATTGTTATATTGGATACTCGAAAACTAAAGATTAATTTTAATGATTTAATTAAATCATACAATATTACTCTATTTTCCCAAATAGTCTAACATATTTAAACGAATTACACATAAAACTGTATAGTTTAAGTAATTGACATCATTGGTAAAAGCATTCACTTGGTATTGTTAGTTTGAATCTTCCTATTGATGTTTACGACTGCATACTGTGCATACTGTGCGTATTGTCTCGATATAGCCATAATCCACAAGCATTATATGCAAAGATGGATAGTGGCTAGCGGTGGAATCCAGGACGCGCGTTTCGTCCTATTTGGGACTCGTCAGTTGGATTTGCCAGCATCTCAGAGTTGATGTTCACTCTGGGACTCAGTAGCTAAGTGTATAACGTGATGGCCTTTGAAGTGAATGGTACTGAGTTCGAGTCCCAGAGTGAACATCAACTCTGAGATGCAAATACACCCATCTGAGAAGTCCCAAATAGGACGAAACGTGCGTCCTGGATTCCATTGCTAGCCACAATCCATCTTTGCATATTGATGAAAACAATTTCTTCCTTGAAACATTTACATTTTGCTTAAAATCAGTTTTATATAGTTTTTCATCAACTAAATAGTTCTAATATATAGTTTTCTAGTTATCGATTAAAAAAATAATCTCGTTATAACTGTAATCTAACTCAAGAATTTGAGTGAATAAGCCGAAGGTTTATCTAGTAAATAGGTAAAATAAATTAAAACAGGTCATGAAAGTGGGAACAAATTATGTCATTATAAGACAAGGAAAAGAAGTAGTGTATTGATTACCCATTAAAATTGATCACTTTATTATATGAATAGCAGATGTACATATAAATAGAACAGGAAGAGTTATTTCGAACTCGGTTCGTACAGATCGTTTAGCTGTGTAAATGATCAGAATATTGAGATAAATTGTAGAATCTTTACATGATCATAGATCAGATTTACAAGTGTCACTTCCGAAAACTACCACTATTTGTAAGTGATATTACTTTAAACAAAATGGTACATTGTATGATATTTTATTGATACTATTTAAAGGTACATTCGCATGAGTAATGTACAAGGATAGAGATTTTAACGTTATTGTTTGTCTCTCACTCAGTCATGATAAATAATGCTCAAAAATACGATGATTAACTTGATTCGTTGTACACACATTGCAACTGGCTCCTCGAGAGTAGTTAAATATAAATACTCATCTTTCTTTCGTCTAAATATTTTCGGTTGGCTAGAAAACGAAGAATGTAATCTTTATGAATTTGATTTTCTCCCGACAACACTTTTAAACTCGTGTCATACTTTTAATAGGGATATTAACCTTAAATTTCTGATTCAACAGCATTGTTTTTTATATATTGTCATTATTTTTATTGTTTTTTTTTAAAAATTTATGTCAAATGTTTCGTTAAAAATTTTGATGTGTTATCATTCTTTTGAATTGACCAAGAATAATTTCAGAAATCTCTTAGAACGTGTCATTCGGGCAAATAACCTTAACTCTGTGAACTAGTCATTTCAATTTAATTTCACTTATATATTGGTGTAACAAAATTCAGTAAACTTATTAATTTAGTTATTTTCTAGGTGTGTGGATATACTTAATACAAGTTTACAAGTACATGAGTTGTATAGAGTTGACAGTTTATTCATTTAAGTCAGGTCAAAACACAAAAATATTTAGTGTTTCTACTATGCAGTTTTATAATTTTGGTCATTAGTTACAGTTTAGATTATAACTTCAGAGACAACTGTCAAATTTAATTTCTATAAAACTAATAACTATTGGATATACTTCAAAAGAAATGGAAAAATATGAGTGTATATTATTGGCTTACATGAGTAGCACGTCTATTTAAGGCACTTTGCACAGCATTAACTGTTGATTCAGCTAAATGTAAACTTGAACCAGCTTGATATTTTGAATGTGCAAGCCGGCGTAATGATGAAATATCTTCTGGTTTAATGTAATAAATTTTATTTCCTTGTTGATTTATATCACTTTCTTCATTTTTTACTTTACTGTTTGGTGACAAATCAGAAACTGGTTGTTTTGATTCTATTGAATATGGAATGATACGTGTAGAAGACCAGTCAGGATTTTGTAGATTGAGAATAGGTTCTTGTGCTTCATCTGTATCAGCAATCGTTGCATCCCAAATGATTAACTGAAATAATATGTCAATAATTTCACTATTATTATTACATCATCATTTGTATTCAACACTTTTTGTAACTCTTTCTGCGTCTAAAGTTAAAGTTATATGAACTGGAAATTTTGCATTTAGTTATATGTCAGTTTTAGGAAATGAGAACCGAATAATTAATTTAGGTGTAATAGTAAATTAATGAAACGATAATTACATATCTCGTTAAATAAGATCTGACATAAAGCAATATCAGCATGAGTCCAAATTAGGTAGAGGAAAATTTTCATTTATTTTTCAGATCAGTTTAATTTATTATATTAAAAGAAAATACTGGTCATTTTAAATTTTAACACAAGTTGGTCAGTGAATTAGATGAAATTGATTTTTTATTGATTTATAAAGTTTATTGCTCTAAGGGGATTCAGGTAACAGTGGTAAAACTAGTAATTAAGATAACCAGTTAAAAATGTCACCAAGTAGCGACAATATACATCATTTATTTTTGTGAATTTAATGAGCAGTAGCCTTCAATTTGTATGTTGTTATCAAAGTAACTGTTGCTTAGTTATTGTGTTGTGTATTTTTGGATCTACACGGTAATTGGTGACTTAATGTCAGTGAGATTTTTTTTAAAAAAATTGACGTATATCACTCATAATGTACTCAAGGAAATATCAAAATGATATTTGATTTGGCTCAGAAGCTTGTATGGACCTAAGTTTGTGACTCTTTAAAACTAATATATCACTCTTTCTTAATGATAACTGAGTATCGTCATCTGATTAATAAAACTGAATAGAGTTTATTCAAACCTTACTTTGAATTACAGATGTTAGAGTAAGTAGACTATCTAGATTTGTGAATATACTGAACACAGAAGGTTGAAAGAAAATAACAACACTTTCTAAATACCTAACTTATTAATCAATTTCTTAGCTTCAACACTTATCATTCAAGTACCACCAAACAATTTACAAACCAAATTGTAACTTCAATATATATATATATATAATATTTCACTAGTTATAATCATAATTCAATTGAAGCTAGACTACCATGGAAAGCCTGAAAGCACTGGACGGCCGTTTCGTCCTAGTATAGGACTCCTCAGCAGTGCGCACTCAAGATCCCGCCCCCCGCGAAATCCGAACCCAGGACCTATCAGTCTCGCGCCAGGCGCTTAACCAACTAGACCACTGAGCCGGCATCCGACGGTGTTAATGTCTAACTTCAGCCAATCCACGAAGTTGCGCCACCGTACACCATCGTCTTCAGTGAGTTCGTATCTCACAACAGACCTGGTTGAACTCTACTGGCAACGACTTCTCACTAGAACTCCAGGAGTATCTCCTGAAGTCAGTCGTTAGTGAGCAGGTGATTATTATTATCAGAATGGGTTTTGTGGAGATTTTTAGAAATTTTACTGGTTGAAATCATGAGTCAATTGAAGATAGACCAACATGAAAAACCTGGAAGCGCTGGACGGCCGTTTCGTCCACAAAACCCATTCTGATATATATATATATATATATATATATATATATATATATATATTCAGTGATTATGTTCAATATATTCAAAAGAAAATAGATTTTATAAAATCCAAATATTACCTGGGCTATTTGACTTAATGCATGATGCATAACATGGGTATGTTCAATTAAACGTTTAGTTGCTTTCAAATGATCATCTTCGTCTTCGAATTCTAATAAATCATCATTATGTTTATTAATATCAGCTGTTGTACTATCCAGCACATCATGCAAACGTTTACCACGTTTATAGGATTTGGAATTTTTAATTAATGGTGAATCTATGTCAAAATTTGAATGTAATTGTTTCATTGTAGTGAGTATTCGATCTCTTTCAGCAAGCTTTTTAATATGAGTAAGTGTAGGAATATTCAAAACAAAAAGGCAAATAAAATGAGAGAGAATATAGATTAATTACAAGTTAATGTATCGAAGATCTCTGCTAGCTTCGTAAAAGTGATTAATTATTAGTTTGGATATAATAAATTATTATTTTTATTTAGTTGCTAAGTGATTTATATAGATCGTAAAAAGAATACCCCTGGTAAATCTTAAAATACAGCAAATATTAATCATTACTTAGATTTAAAAACTTCAATCGACTCGATGTAAATTATGATAAAATGGCTCAGTAACATGTATATTTCAACAAAAGTACCAATAAGTCAATATTTCAGGGATACATAATGTTAGATTGAAAATATGAATAAGAATTAAGAGTTAGCAATGATGATATGTAGATTTCCAACTTTTTCTCCACTAAATAAAAAACAATCTTTTGCGAGCTGAAGTACAGTATAGTACAGTGTAATACAGTTACTTTACTTGTTGTTATTAATATTTAGAATAATTGGTACGTTTGAAGTTTAAAACGAGTCCTTAAAACGATATAGATAAACATTTAGTAACCGATTATCTGTTTATACATATAGTATGAGTCATAGACAATGAAAGATGACTAGATTTCACAGTTACCATAGAACGAATAGAGACTACTATGAATTTTGATATGTTTATCAATTACTGATAGAACGCACATTTTATCTTGGTATTTATCATAGTTGAGTTATTTTAATATCCATCCGCTAGTGATTGTAGTCAAATTTCATTTAAACACTTACCAGACAAAATTACATGTAGAATTTAGGCTTCGAAGTATAATACATTAATATTTTATACGTTTAAAACAAAAATAGTTGTACACTATGCACACTAAATATAAGGCTTTGCACATAATATTTTTGCCGTCTAAACTTGAAAAATTAGTAATATTTCCAGGTATAAGCGTTTTCGTTTTAATTTTGAATGCTTTGTTTACATTTTGATTTATTTCATTATTCTTAAAACTTTGGGTGCGTACCTGAGTGGCAAGCCGTTCTTTTGCAGTCATAACATCAGTAAGCTTCGTTTCTGTTTCGGCCAAACGTGCTTGACTACGTGCCAAAGATTCAGTCAAACCTTGTATACGATTTGCCATATCTGCTTCAATGAAGCTAGATGTTTTTACTTGACTAGCTTGATTCTGTGCTTCAGCTGTGCGTATATTTGCTTCCAAATTATTACATGCTGATTGAATGTTCCCTATGTAACGAGTAAATTCTGTACGGGTCTATATAAGAATTATGAATAGAATTATAGAGAAAACGTGAATTAAACACATTATAGGATATGGTTCTGAGATAATCAAGTCCGTATATGAAGGATTATTTAATCATTCTTTTGTTACTGAACAGTTCTGATATCACAAATTAAAAGGTTCTGTAGTATGCTGCTATGTCCCAAAAATTTGTCGTTTTAGGTCTGTTAAAAGACAACAATACCCAAAGCTACATTGTAGACAACAATTATTTTGTAGAACAATTTTGTTAGTCGTCAAATGTCTCATGGAGGTGATAATTATTTTGGTGTTTGTATGATTTCAAATCTCACTTTACTATTTTAAGTCAGTAAGTAGATAGTTTAGTGATAAATAGGTAAAATTTTTGTTAGTTCCTAGAGAATTTAAAACGTACTTATTACTACAACATCTCTTGTAACATAGAAGTCTAATACTGTTAATGCTTTAATCGGAAAAAAATATTTAAAGTGATACTTAGAGTGCGGATTTATGTAAAACTCATATGAGTTTAAAAATGACCACGTTGTAAGCTGGTCTTGATGACTTTTTAAGTAAAGTTTGTGCTATGTTCGAGAGATTGAGATATCATCTTGGACCGACGAGCGGAACGTGAACCAACAATGTGATAACAGGACAATGTCAGGCTATTTCTGTGCGCCCCAACCCTGCTAATTAGATCAAGAAGACCAGATTCAGCCGATAAAAAACATAATTTTACAAGAAACCCGGAATAATGAACAAGCACTCAGCTCACGAGTAATATATACAATAAAAAGACATCCTTGAAAAGTGTCACAAAATAGCTTACTAAAAGAGGAAACAAACCAATGGTGTTTAAAGTCCTACCAAATGTAAAACATAAACTGAATGTAATAATGAGTGCTTTTGGCCTCAAAATGAGAATCCAGCATCCCCAAAATACTGACAAGCTATACATTACTTATTTTTATCTATCTGTGAACAATTAACCATATCAATCCCAGTTTAGTTTTTAAACTATAGTTGCTGTTAATAAAATACATAAATTTTAGAGCTTAAACCAATTAATTTGTATTGTCTAGTTTCAAAATAATGAATTGAATAATGTACAAGGTTCAGAGCATTGATTCATGTTTAAAAGCTGAAAAATTTCTTCCAGCTAACTGGTCAGCAGATCACCTCATGTATTAAGTTTTTGTACATATCGAATAATATCAGTCAACTTTTGGTTACATATTCATTTCCCTGTAAATCTTCATATATGACATTGTGTTCCGATTTTGATTTAACAATGAAAGAAAATCCATATAAAATATCTTAGTGAAATAATCGCTTAATTTATATATAACTTACATTTGTTAAATCTTTATCAGTTTGTTGTCTTAAATCAGCAAATTGACGTCGAAGAGCAACAACAGCTCTCCATAAAGATAATAAACGACTATGTTCAGCAGCAAAATAATCATTAAATGCACTTTCTTCTTCACGCCATTCTGATTCACGTTTATCTAATTGTTGAGCTGCATGTCTCCAGGCTAATGTTAAACGTGCAACATCTTGACTTAAACCTTGATTAGCTTGTATTGCTTGTTCTAATTGATCACGTAATAATTCATTTTCTCTAGATAATTCGTTAGATCTTATAAAAACGGAATTATATTTAATTATGGTAAAATTAGAATTTATTTATAATTTTTACAATCATTTATAATATGAAAAGTGTCAATTCAATATTATCATTTTCTCTATTATAACTGAGGTAATATTAAAATTAAAAACAGATGAAAATTTTGTTATGTTATTTAGTATGTTGATATATTCATCCATTACACAATAGCATATCTTTTACTTTCAACAAGACTAAAAATTCATATAACAGATTGTAATATGACAATATACTGTTGAATGAATTATAACAAAACTGAGGTTGATTGTACTTAAATAACAAGGAAAATCTACTAAGTTATTAGTCAAGAGTGAAAAACAAACGAAACTTTATGTAGTGTTTTTTTAACAGTTGAATTCACGAATCGATTTAAGTTAGACCACCATTGACAGCCTTGAAACACTGGGCGGCAGTTTCGTCTTAGTATGGGACTCCTCAGCAAAGCGTACCCACGATCCCGCACGCGGGACCCGAGCCCAGGACCTGTGGTCTTGCGATCGAACGGTTAACCTCTATTTACCTCACTCAATGGATAAAGGGTTGCGGAAGATCACTGATCGATTGAAGTTAGACATTAACACCGTCAGATACCGGCTCAGTAGTCTAGAGGTGAAGCGTTCACACACAAGACCAAAATTCTTGGTTCTGAGCCTCACGTGCGGGGTCATGGATATGCACTGCCGAGGAGTTCCATACTAGGACGAAACCGCCGTCCAATGCTTCCAGGTCTTCAACGGTGATCCAGGTTATATTGACTCATGAATCCAACTGTTAAAATACTACTATCTCCACAAATCTCCGTACTGATATTATTGTAACGTAACAATAAAATTTATCAGTTAGTCTGCTTCTCTAACGAAGATAAAACGTCGTAAAGAAATTTTATTATTGATACTATTGACTACCTGAATACCTGTGTTTAAATGTAGCCAAACGGTACTTTTTATCTGTTATAACTTTTTGAATTACTTATAACAATGTAGGAACAAATTTGAAAATCTCAAACAATCAGATCTTACTTGGTGATTTTATTCATCTTGAATTGATTCTTTTGAAATCTTTAACTGATATTTTTCATTATTGTTTTGTTTCAATATTATTCCATATATTTGTAAAGTTCAAGTTTTACTATTTCCTCATTTTAAATCAATGAACTATACTATTAACAAGTGGTATAATTCAGTTTGTTGAAAACAACTTGTTTTAAATAAGTAATTGGTTGAATAATAACGTCGTTTAAATTGTAATTTAACAGAATGAAAGTATTTTCTCCAACTTACCTTTGTTGTTCTTCATGTAATTTATTTACAGTATTTTCCATATCATAAGAACGTTCTTGTTCAAGAGCTCTTGCTTTTGTCTCAGCTACATCAATACGAGAATTTAAAGTTTCTGTGGTGGTTTGAAGCTGTTAGCCAAAATGAAAAAGAAGAGCATAGTTTTATCGTGATAAAAGAGTCAGAATATATAGAATGGAGTCAAATAGTAGATGTATGAAATTATCTGAGTGTTGTTGCCATGTAAAAAGATCTTTTGAATAATTAATTAGAAAGTTTACATAACTTATGATAAAATTTTCAAAAATTGGAAGCAGTACAGAAGGAAACTATTGACGTTAGTATATAAAAAGTATTCAAACTGATTGTAAATTAGACTTCCTGAAGTAAAACAGTACGAGTCTATCATTTTCTAGGTGATTTTTATAAAAACTATAATGTAATAACATCAAACATATGACTATACTTTACATAATTTAATTCATGTGAGCGGTCCGGTAACATCTTAGACTGTGAAGTTGAGTAATTCAGGTTCCAAACAAAGATCAATTGGGTGCAGCCGAGTATCAAGTAGTACGAAATTTACATGCAGACATTTCTCAAAATTACCTCTAACCATTTAGTATAATAATTTAAGAGAAAGTCATATGTAGCAAATGGATAGAAATTTTTAAAAGTCAGTATATATGTATGAAGATTGCATTTTTTTGTATTCTGTTTAATCAGTTTCGTCTAAATCCGATGACAATCCTTTATTCTGTTGGTGAAAAGTAAATACCACCAAGACTAAATTTTTAAACTTTAACATCGGAAAGACTGAGAAACCAGATTTTTGCTCTGAGTAATATTTTTAGCTATAGGTTTGGATTGATTGTGATGTATAATTATCACGACGAAATATGAGCCAAATTGATTAACCTACTGATTTCGAATTAAGATTAGTGTATTTGGTAGTTTAAACAGATTTATTCAAGTGCATTTAAAAGGAATGAAAGTTGAAAAGAAAATGATGAAAAGACAAATATTTCAAACTAGTTTATATTCATGCGATATTGAAAAAAAAGAAACAACAACAACTACGCAACGATTGTTAATAAGAACAGTTTTACAACATTGAACAACATCTATTTTGAAGATACAACAACCTTGAGGAATGAGTAAGCAAGCTCACCACTTTATTTGATGTTTCAAGTTCAGCTTTTAGTTGTTCAACCTCAAGTTCCAAATCTGAGCTGCTTTTTTTATACTGCATTACCTATTATATACAGATATAAGGAGAGTGGTAATAGAGATTTAAGTTTATTTGAAAATATTTTTGACTACACATAATGGACTAATTTTGATTACAAAGCTAATTGAAATCAGGGAAAACTGGGCAGTTGTTTGGTCCCACTGTGGAACTCACCAGCATTGTACATTCTCGACTCCACAGCGGATCGGACCTAAGACTTTCAATTACATAATTTACATAGTTTAATTAATTTGCGACAAATCCTGAGCAGTTTTTTTAATGTTAATTATTTCAACAACTAAGTACCAATTCTATTTTGTGTCATTTTTAAATAACAATTGAAATTCAGAAATAATGTAATGAACTAGGATACAAGTGGGGAAAAGCAGATCCATTTTAATACAATACTACGGAATATCTTGGTAAAATCTGAGAACTATATAGTAATACTTCATTTCCAAAATATTCATCAACTGTCTCGGATTTTGTTGTTCCTTCGTTTTCATACCGATCACGCTCTGTTCTCGTTCTCTTCTCTTTGATTTTCCCAACATTCTGACTCTAGGTATTCAACTTTTGATTGATGATACATACTACTTATATCTGTCGATATCAGTAACACACACCATACTAAAGGTATTTAGAAGCTTTTAAGAAAATTTCGAATAAAAGCCTTTAAATATGTTTAATTATTCTGGTAATACCGGGATTATTTATATAAAAAACTTACTTTACTTGTTATTAGGGTTCTAAGGATTTCGAAATATGATCAGAATTATTATGTAGATCGTAATATACTGGACTGTCGGTTTTATACTTAAGGTGACAAAGTATATATAGGGCCCCATATCAATGACTAAATATTATCTCAAGTCTAATGAAAACCCTATAACCAAATAATTGAGAACTTTACGTCAGAATATAATATTTACATTGTGTAAACATGTCAAATTAAGATTTTTTCACGAGTGATATTGTAAGAACTATGGTTAGATAATTTATCAGTAATGATAGTATGAATACATAGGTATGAATTTTTTTTCAAAAATAACTGATTTTGATGTATTCTCCCACTGTCGGATGTTTTATCGACAAAAAAAGAGCAACTGACTTATTCACTACAATAAATGAAACAATTCACTCAAGTTGTATAAATATGAGAATTTGACTGATTAGATTCATTTTCTTATTAAAAAGTACTATTCAGTTGTATTTTTACATAGCAAGTAACTACCAAACATGAATGTTTAATTAATTACTTAACTAGATATTCACTTCTCAATGTATTGAGTTGTAATTTCATGCGGATATATTAAATAAACATAGAAATTCACTATTTTCCAGGACTTTACATTTTATTATTATCATTATTTACGTTATTAATAGTGCTCATTTTATTTGTTTCTTTTTAGGAACTTTTGACTAGTTAATTCTATATTGTGACTAAGATCTAGACAATTGGCTGTCTGAAATGAGGAGCCAAGAGAACAACGTGATGACGTTCGAAGCGAAGAGTAGTGGGTTCGAGTCCTGGAGGGAATATCAATCATGGGATGCAGGCACATCCTATTGACTGGTCAAAGTTAGGACGAAACGTAAGTCCTGGATTCCAATGCTAGCCACCATCCATTTAGACCATCTTAGTCTCACAAATACCTTCAGTAAAACGTTTTTAAGTTATTTACATTTTTAGTTACGTAGAAATTAATATTTTTGCCTTTTCTATTATTTAGTATCAATAAAAATAAAAACTTACTTTTGCTTGTAATTTTTGTATAAGCTGAGCTTGCTTTTGTTGTCCATCTTGATAACTGGATAATTTTTTTTTATAATTTGCTATTTCTGCTTCATAACGTGCTTTTATATGATTAATCGTTTCTTCTGTATCAGTTAATTGAATTTGATGCGTAAATGGAGAATTTTTCTCAGCCAAAGAAATATGTACATCATCTGGTGTACATGCTGGTGTTGATGATATTGGGCAACATAATGCTTCTAATTGAGATGAATCCATTCCAGCCATTTGAAAAAAACTATCAAGACTTATTTCTTCATCTGGATTCATTGCGAATAAGAGTTTTTTTTAGTGTTCTGAAATTTATTATTGAAATAATCAGTAGATTATTCTTATTTAAGATGATCATTTTAGATTACGGGGTACTAAGTATTAACATGTTATAAATTTCATCTGTTTACAAGTCATGTTGTACTTGATATTTATTGTTTTTCTTATAAAAAAAAGTTATTACCGTTTAGTGGTTTTCTTCAAGTGATTCATAGGTTATTAATTAGTTTATGAAACTCAAGACCTTCACGGTTATATTGTTCTCAATCCATATTGTATTATACTTTTGGGTTATATATGTATCATACTATCCAGTTAAACTTCATAGGAATATTTATTCCGAATATGTGGATGATTAAAAAAATCTCTCATTAAGCTGATAAAAAGAAAATCGATTTACGAGTTAAGGGTAGCTATTTCTATAGTATCGTTGGAAACAAAATTTAGATTGAAAGCCAGTGATATTTAAATGTTGACTGGTAGCTATTTCGCTTAATTATAGATGAATTTTTAACAATCCATGACTATACATTTCTATATTATTTAGTGATGTTAAAAAAGATGAATAAAGCTCAGGATTGAAGGGTCTGGAATTGGAAAAATAGACCATTTAGCTATTCATAATGTGTATCTAAATATCAAACAGTATCTTTCAGTACATCAACTTAGAGAAAATTGATGAGGTCATAGATGGTCACTGTTCAGTAGTTTCAATCTAAAGGTATTTCATATATTTTAAATTGTACTAACAAGCTGTTCAATCGTATTAAAAACAAAACACAACGAACTCATTATCATATCATTTAATTATCTTTAATCAGTAAATAAAAAGATGTATCACAGTACAAGTCGCGGTTGTTAAAATATTCATGTCACAATGAAGGTTATCATTAAAACTTATTGATCTACCGTTTGATGAATATTTTATAATGCACTTGTCAAATAACTTTGTTTTAGAAAAATATTGTTAAACATTAAACAGATAAATGTAAATAAATTATACATTAAAAGTAGCTTTGTTATTTTTTTTTAAAAAAAAAAAAAGAAATTGCATTTTATTTATCTATTCTACCAATAATTCTAAAATCTGATATACAAGTACCAATGTTACCATAGTAACAAGAAGTGTAATTGATGGATTCTGTGAAGTATAAATTATAATTCTATCGGGTTCTACAAATCATATATATATATATATATATATATATATATATATATATATATATAATGACGATGCATCTCACAACTTTTGTATAAATATTTGCTTACCATAATTATCAGCTGTTTTTTGTTTGGAGAACAGCAGAGCTGATATTTCCGATGTTATTATAGACTATAGAAGTGATTTATGAATAATATCCGACAATATAAAAAAATAGTTAATGATTTGAAATATAGTAAAATGTGATAGGGTTTCTATTGTGACATTTTTTTAAAGTATTTGAACAGTACCTTAGTCTATCCAACTACTTATTTATTCAATTCCCAAGAGAAAGTGATAGAAATTGATAGAACTGAAATATTATTGCATATTACAACTGGATAATCAGTTAAAATACAGAGATCATAGATGTACTAACCCAATATTTGATAACATTATGATAATCAATGAACATAGTTTGTATATACAACAAATACTTTCAAAGTTGAAAGCTGTTCTGTTGAAAGACATCTGTTGAGAGTTTGAAACATGTAAACAATAGTGTTATTTATGACAAATTTCTTGAAGTCATAAGAGAGATAAAAAAATATCTTGTTTAAGCGAGATAATATGCATTATTTGCAGGGGAACAATTAGCAGGCAGTTAATATACTACGTAGTAGATGATATAACGTTTGTAGCTAACAAGCAGTTAAATAATTCAGGAGGAAACAATCAATATTCTTTTCATTCATTTGATATTATCTAAGAAATTAGATTAAGTAATATTTACTGATTCAGAAATTTGATGAAAAACGTTTTTCTTGCCACCCTACTTTAGATAATATAAAACATTATGTATCATAATTTTGCAGTCATTCAACTTACGTGTATGGGAGGTAACTTTGAAAGACACCTTGTCAATTTAGAAAAGAGATGAATTTTTCCTATTAGAATGTTAGAGATTTTAGGCATTTATGCAACTAGTAAACTGTTTGTATTCAATTAATAATATCAATGTTCATGCACTAGTTTTCAGACGTTTTCTTAATATGGGACACTTGTCGATCAACATCCGTATATATATATATATATATATATATATATATATATATATATATATACGGATGTTGATCGACAGGTATTCCATAGTCTAGTAGTTTACAACCTAACTCAGTCTGGTAGTGCAAACTAATATTAATTATTGAAAAGTTTTCAGTTCTTGTATCAGTATTCTATTGAAAGCATTAAGTTTCATTAGTTTAAAATTAAAAAAGCACAAAATAAATAACTTTCAGTAAAATGAAGATAGAGTGTATTAGTTCACTATGAATAACAATGTTTTGTTGGTCAGGAAGTATTTTAATGTACATTATGATAAGGAAAGCTTTTGGCATTAGATGGAAAAGTATATTTATCTACAAAATAAGATTTAATTGATTCTCGAAATTAGTTAAATTTTTTTCATAATCTTAGCAAAGAATATTGATATTAAATATTTAAAGTGACTGGGTGGGATTTAAAATGAAGTGCTTTTATAAAGATTACTTAAATAGAGTGATATAGTACAATAGAAACTATTGAAATCTCAATTTTGAGCATATGCAGAAGCTAAAGACGTTTATAAGTTTGAAATGTATTCATTTACTTATAAGAAAAGCTTTACAAACTTGAGTACATTTTAAACATTGAGTTATATAGATTGTCTGATAGTCTTTAATATGATAAAATCTATGATAAAACAATAGTGCATACAGTGATATTTGCTGTTGTAAGAAGTCAATATGATATGCTTACTATTGTCTACTGATTAAAATGAACAATAAAATGAATTAATAAATTATTTACAAAGTGTATATCTAAAACGTATTCGTATATTTTAAAGATATAGTAATTATATTTATTATTTTAATTTAGTTAAATGAAATTTACTTTGCGTAACAGATTTCATTAATATGGGGTTAGTTAATTGATTGCACTACTAAGTTCAAGGTCACTCTAACGGTTTAGCGATAAACATAATCTTGAGTAATTTCTATCAATACTGCTATATAAGGTAATAGTTACACAATTGAGAAAAAGACTGAAACAATTTGTTTGAATAATAATGATAATAATAATAATTACAGAATGGGTTTTTTGGAGAATTTTAGAAATTTCATTGGTTGAAATCATGAGTCATTTGAAGCTAGACCACCATGGAAAACCTAGAAGCACTGGACGGCCGTTTCGTCCTAGTATGGAGCGAGACTGATAGGTCCTGGGTTCGAATCTCGCGGGGTGTGAGGTCATGGATGCACACTGCTGAGGAGTCCCATACTAGGACGAAACGGCCGTCCAGTGCTTCCAGGTTTTCCATGGTGGTCTAGCTTCAATTGACTCATGATTTCAACCAATGAAATAATAATAACAGTTGTATTCCCCATTCTTTGTAGTTATCACCAGTTTAATTACATAACTATCAATTTTCATCTTGAATTCATTTCTTCTAAATAAAATAGTTGAGGAAAAGTTTTATCGTTGGATTTGTTAAAAAGAATTTAGGGTTTCATTTGCGACGATTATGACCTATTCATCAATGCACGAAAATTGGAACTATTCGCATTTTCTCGACTTCACTTATTTCACACAAATAAGCTAGTTTTTGTTATAAATTCATATCAACTGAATTACTACAAAAGATCAGGTAGAAATGTACAGGTGTTTTCTCTTAATTTTAATGATTTTTGTATACTCTCCATTTTTAACCTAACAAAAAATACAATTCGAATTGTTCTATTTCATGCCCCCAAATGCCCTGGTATGGCCGAGAGTGGGGTGGGCCCGCCCTCCCTCTCGAAATGCTCTCACACGGCCACGCGTATACAGCCTCTGCCACGGAAGTCCTACTCACTGTTTTCTCATGGCAGGGGTGTTGCTTACAAAAATGAGAGGACGAAAAGCGAATGTCCGGCGCTTTAACCGGATTCCAAACCAATGGTGCACATGGGCTTCAGTATCCTGCGGGAACAAATGGCGTATGAACCAATTGTTGGTCACCGGCTACCAAGGGACTGCATCTCCTCACGATGCTCCACTGCCTTGTGGATCAGACTTTTAATTCAAAGGCTCGGGGTGTGGCCCCCTAAGAAAACCACCTGCTTCGGTCTGGGCACCCGGGCAGTATCACAGCCGACACACACACACAAATATGGTGTGGCGCATATATATTTGGGTCCCTCTTGTACCAATATTTATGTGTTGAAATAATAATAGTAATAGTTCTATTTGATGTGGTATGACGGAAGGGATATTTGACCGAGGGGATTAATTTAATTTATAGGTTATATTCGTCACAAATTGATCTTGTTTGGGTTACTTCTAATAACAAGAGAGTACTGGAATTTTGTTTAATTTCCACATGAAACTCCTCAGCGTTTTGTACCCATGACTCCGCAAGGGACTGAACCCCAAACTTCTAGGTCTAGCAGCGAACGCTAGACCTTCGGAACTAATGAGACTCAATGAGCATGTTATGTCACGAATTGATTGAAGTTACAAATTTATTATTGGACGCTGGCCCAGTCGTTCTAGTAGTCAAGCATTAGTCGGGAGACCTGAAGGTCCTAGGTTCAATCTCTCATATGTCTATGAACAGTCCATACTAGGACGCAACAGTTGTCCGGTGCTTCCTGGTTTTTAATGGTACCTTTAATGAGAAACCTTTTGCTTTTTAAAAACAGAAGCATTTCGCACTTACTTATATGATTCATAAATTACCATCGTTAAAATAGATCAAGCATATAAGTTGAAAATTCACGATAAATCAAGTTATTTCGATAAGTGCGAGCGACTCATAATAGAATATTTACATATAAGT